AGCGGCTGGTGAGCTTGAACTGTTGACCTTGAGGTTCAAACTGGCTTTGCCGCCCAGCGCATTAACCCACAGTGCCACACCAGGACTCCGTATCTGGGTTGAGCCTAGGTGATATTATCATGTATGTTAGTCTCAGCTTGTTTTCTGCTGTTGTTGGTTCTCTGTCCAAAGTATTTTTTGTTAGATTAGTTTGGTTTTCACCAATTCTTTTAATTTCTGTTTGAAAAATGACCTAATTTCATCATTATATTTGATGGACAATTTTGCTAGTATATGACTCTTGGTAGGCAATTTTTTCCTCTTAGAGTTTTATATTAGTCATCCCATTGTTTTTTTGCCTGCATGGTTTCTGCTGAGAAATCATATTAGTTCTCCTTTGTAGGTAACTTTGTTTTTCCTGAGCTGCTCTCAGGATTCTTTCCTTCTCTTTGGTTTTGAAAAGTTTGATTATAATATGGCTTGGTGTTTTTCTTTTGGGGTCTATCTTGTTCAACTTCTTGAATGGCTATCCTCTCATCTTTCATGATTTTTGGGAAGTCTTCTTCCAACAACCTTTAGACATTATTCTGATTTCTTGTCTCTTTCTGTTCTGGAATTACAATCACATGTAAGCTATTCTTCTTGATAGCATCCTGTATAAATCTTTGGCTTTCTTTGGATTTTTTTGTTGTTCTGTATTCTGATTGTTATCTAGCAGATGAATATTGAGAGATTTTTCTTCCAGTTCAGTAATTTTGCTTTCCATTGATTTGATTCTACTTCTTTGTCCTTGCAGTGTGTTAGTGTTAATCCTTTGGCTTTCTAATGGCTGGTTTTGTATGATTTTCAGTTTTCATTTATTTTGTCTGTTTGTTTCCTGAATTCTTCGATAGTTTTGTCTGTTTTCCTTGATTTCATCCTTTGTTCTTGCAATCGTTCTCTCATTCTGTTGAAGTTGCCTAATTAGCGTTCTTTGAAATTCCTTATCATGTAGTTCTGATACCACTTCTGGTGTTATATTTTCTGATTCTGTATTTTGGCCACTTATTTGAGCTTATACTTTTTCTTTGCATAAGCTGAAATTGTTTTCTCTAAGGCATGGTGGTGTAGTATTTATATTTAACTGATGATTGTATATTGATGTGTTCTTAGGCACTCACCACTGTCTCCTTCTGGATGTGGTAGACACTGAAAGTGTCTCTTTTCACTGTTTGTGGAGCATAGTTCAGGATGGGTTCACACACCTTCTGAAGCAGGGGCACTAAGCAGTGGTGTTACGTCTGGTGTCCAATCCCAGGCAGAACAGAGACTGCTCAGGAGGGAATGCTACTGATCGCTGGGCTGGTGAAGGTGGGGACTGGTCATGCCCCCAGCTACCAGGCAAGCATGGGAACAAGGGAGAAGTGCACCTCCTTGCTGCCAACCTGCAGCCATGTCCTGTGCCTGCAGACCGCTATACCAACAGCTGCTTGCAAAAGCTCAAGATGGCTGTTCCGCTCTATGCCCATTTTTCTTCTCTCTCGCTGCTTCTGTTCAGATTCCATCTCTAGTCAACACTCAGTCTACCTTTTTGTCCTATCCTCCAGTGCTCAGGGTTTCAGGATCTCCCCCTGTATCTGCTGCACTCGGTCATCCAGATTTTTGTTGCAGAGTATGTCTGCCTCCTCCACCGTCTTGCCAGTTTGAGTTATTCGAACGAATGTAGAGTTGATGAATCACTTATGTGTGTGTGTGTGTGTTTTAAACTACAGATGTTATTTGACAATTATTTATTGTAGAGCATTTGCTTGTATATTGCCATTCACCTTAATGAGTACAATTGACAAAAATAACAGGCTACACACATTTCCTGCAGGTGAACTCTGTGTTCACTTACTAGCACCTCACATCTTTGACTAATTGTTGTATATAAATAACTAATGAAGAAGTCTGGGTGGCACAACAATTAGTGCTCGGCTATTCTCCAAAGGGTTGGTGGTTTGAAACCACCCACCAGCTCTGAGGGGTATTTCTTAGACTGTATAATTACTAACATGGTGATCGCTTCCATAAATCACAGCCATAAACACCCTACGGTGCCACCGTACTGTGTCACATGGGTGGCTATGAGTTGGAATCAACTTAATGGCACCCAACAACAACAGCAATACATATGACCGGACAAAAAGAACGCTAACGAATTGTTTTCCATAAACATCTTCTACTTAAAAAATATTAGTATGAAAAATTTTAAGCATGTACACCAGGAGAAAGAATAGTGGAGCCTCTATGTAGCCTTCATCCAGCTTTAAGAATGACCAATATTTTGCTAACTTTTTCATTTATCTTCCATTCTCTCACTTAAAAAACAAATAAACAAAACACCTGGAATATTTTAAAAGCAAACTCAAGGATTCGTTTTACCATGAATGTTCCTACAGGAAGTGATGACAAGAAAATCCTCTCAGGGCCTGAATTTCTGGGAGGCCTAGGCGAGCAGAAGCACCTTCCTCGTTTCCCGGAGGCAGTGCAATACACTTTGCTCCCAACCCGGGCCACTCCTCCCATGAAATTCCTCCAGGCTCAGGATTTTCTCTAAGACTGGAAAACCAAATATCTGGCTTCCCTTAGCTAGAGACATCTGGGGAGTGTTGCTTCTGAAACTATTTTTGGCATGAAAATGTCACCCAAGATGCTTCAAACTCTTTGGAAATGTGTTAGCACTGAAAGCAGCTGACTATATGTTAGAGATGGAGTGGATAGAAATGAATTATCACCTTAACCAGGCTTTCCCCATCATGGTCCTTGCTTCCTAAGCTCTCCCTGTTCAATGCTTTTGGCCAAGAATTGCACCTGGGCTTTAGTATGTGAAAGATGTCATAGCAGGTGTGGCGGAGGGATGGCAGGTGTATGGCAAGGCGGAGCCTGACCGGCTGTTCTTCTTTCTGGGAGCCTAGTATGTGGGTGATCCCCAGAGGGTTTCAGGAGAATGCTGGGGCTGTGTATTTTCTGATGGACCACACCAGATAAGGAAGGCAAAATTCTATTTCCCATAGAAGGTACCAGGGACCAAGCTGGGTCAAGTGAGATATTTCCCAGGAGTAGCAGGGGCAAGGACAATACAAGTAGTTAAGGGGGAGACAGCTAGCAAGAAGGATGCTGGAGAGAGTAAACCAGGCAAGGGTCAGGAGTGGAGTCCATTAGGAGAGAAGATCAAGAAGCAGAGAGTAAGGTGAAGCCCACTTCATCAGACTGTGAATGAGGTGAGGCCAAGGAAGGCTGGCTTTATTGGATGATGGTGTGCCACCATCACCTATCCTGGGCTCAGGGAATATCGAAGAGATGAAGGTGGGAAAGACTCCTAGGGAGGTTGTTGATTCATATCCTTTAGCAAAGTCTTCCACCCCCAGCACCTCCTCCCACCTCGGTGGTACTTGAGGTTTGGGGAAGTAATAAAAAATCTTAGCATCAGCTAGCAGGGTCCTCAAAAACCATCTCTCAGACTCACTTTACAGACGGGTAACAAGACTTGAAAAAGAAAAAGAATTGTCCAGTCTCACATTGGGAGCATGCGACAGAGGGCTGCTTCAAGTCCAGATAGGTTCACCTTCAAGACCTCCCTGGTCCCTGTCTTGGTCCCACTCAGACACCTGCTCAATAAAGGCCGCATTGAACACATAGCCCACCTAGCACATGAGCCATTGGGGGACCTGGACTCACCATGCCTTGACACGGGGGCTTTGGTGGTGAATGCAGGAGTGTTTCATTTAATTCTTTAGTTCAGAAGTTGTTTCACAAACCAGAGGCAGGTGTTATCTCCTGGTGTACAGACAATTTTTATTTTCTCCTTTATATTTTCCAAGGTTTTCCAACATTTTATAACATCTCTGATTTTTATAATTCCCCAAAATATATTTTAAAAAAGAAGGAAACTGGAGGGCAGTGAAATGCCTAGCTCTGCACTGAGACCTACCAAATAAGGTCAGTCAGCATCGGTCATGATGGGCAGAAATCCTGCCCCAGAAGGAGTCTTACAGATTATTAAACTCTCCTGCCTGGCACTCAAGGCCTCCGAGACAAACTCTCTCTACTGCCTCATCTTTGCTCATACTGTGCTCTGCTCCTGAAAGGTCCTTCTCCAATGTCCTCTGCCAATTTCAACTCACTTCTCTGGGTTCAGAGAACCAACACTTCTCTTGTCCCTTCTGGGAAGGTGTCTGAAAGGCCCACCTCCCCCAGTTGGGATGAGCATCTCCCTCCTTTGACCTCGGGTAGCATTTTATCTGAGCCTGCTTTTATCATCTTCTGCCTTGGCCTGGTGTCATTTGTACTTGGGTCTCTCTCTGCTACTGCCCTCCTTGAGGGCAGGTCTGGGTATTAGTAATTTGCATTCCCAATGCCATCTTCAGCCAGGCATATGCTAGACTTCCACTGAAGGTCTGTTGAACTTACATGAAATGAAAATGTATCTCAAAGAAGGATATAGTGATAGGTTAGAACATGGTGGGCTTTCTCAATCTAAACATTTAGGATCAAATAATTCTTTTTGTCAGTGGCTGTCCTGAGCATTGTTTGATGTCTAGAAAGTAGCATCTTTGGTCTCTATCTACTGGATGCCAATAGAACTCCCTCTGTTGTGACAATCAAAAATTTGAATGTTACCAAATGTCTGGCAACATTGATTCCATTGAAGGCCTCTGGAATGTGGGTGATAAAGGGCTTTCACAGTCTCAAGGAGGGAGAATTTCCATTTGATAGATGAGGAACTCAAGGCTTCTGGTAAGTTTAGAGTAAAATCTTGTACCTAGGTCTCCTACTCCAAGTCTAGCACTTGTTTTACTATTCCAGATGCTTCTCAGGACCCCAGCAAGTCTTTGCTTCCTACTTTGGTGCATCCATTCCACCTCTGCACTCACATTCTGGGCTCCATACTGCCTTTTTTCCTTTTCTCTACTCTTGTGGCCTGTACCAGGATATGTCCTACTGGTTGACCCTACTGGTCCATGCAGACTGGACCTCAGGCTGTGCCTGAACATGCCCCATTACATCTTCTTCAGTTCCGTGGGTTCCTCCCCATGCTTGAACACGCTAATGGTGACCTGGGCCGTCTCAGAGCCATACTTGTTCTTGACGAAGACACCATAGCGTCCACTGTCCTCACTTTTGACCATGGTGATCGTGATTGTGACCGCTGTCCCCTTCACCTCCATGTGGTAACGGTCAAGGAAGGTGACAGGCTGGTCGTTCTTCAGCCAAGAGATTTCAGGAGTGGGGTCACCTGAGATGATGCAGGTCAGGCACAGAGTCTGGTTCAAAGGACAAGAAAAGAATACTCAATTTCATCTTGGGTAATAATCCCTGGCATTCACCTTCACTTATACAGAAAGCTCCCAGGACAAGTTGCCTTTTGTGTTAAACTCATTACGTGTGCTTTATTGTAACCCATAAAACTGATACTCTTAAAAGGAGAGACATTCTGTTTTAACTACACCGCCCTCATCCTCAGCTTTTCCACCAAAATACCTACTAGCTGTAATTTCAGACCATTACTGGTCTAGCAACTATTTACCATGAAATGTGTTTCTTTTCATTAGGGATCCATCATTATGATTTTATCATACAAATATGCAATGTACTGTCATAAAGATTCTATGGGTTAAGTTGGAAAATTCTAGGACCAAGTCGAATGCATAGTGTAATAGTGAAATACACAGGCTCTGGGAGTCAATCCCAACTCTATCCCTTTAAGCTGTGTGACTTTAGGTGAGTCTGTTTGTTAATCTCCCTGGACCTCAGTTTCCTTAGCTATAAAATGGGACTGGTAATAATACCCTGTTTATTGTGGTTGCTTTGATGATTTAAAAAAGTAATTTTATTTAGTTGTTGTTGAGAATATATACAGCAAACCATATACTAATGTGAACAGTTTCTACCGGTATTACTTAGAGCCATGAATTCCATTCCTCAAGTTGTGTAGGCATTCACATCCTTTTCTGAGTTGTTCCTCCTCCATTGACATACATTCACTGCCTCCTAAGGTAGCGTAGTGGTTACGAATCGGGCTGTGAACCGCAAGGTCAGCAGTTCAAAACTACCAGCTGTTCTACGGGAGAAAGATGAGGCTTTCTGCTCCAGTAAAGATTTACAACCTCGAAAACTCTGTACAGGGTTACTATGAGTCGGAACCAACTCCACGGCACATAACAACAACAACAACAAAGGTAACTATCTAATTTTTTGTGTTGCTGTTGTCAATTTGATCCCATGTAGCTAGTTCTTGAAAGGGCATAATGTTCAAGGCAGACATTTTAAACTAGTTAAGTGCAACTATCATTAGGTTTTAAGAAAACTTCAGGGGGCTATTTTTGGTTTGAGTCTTGATGACTAAATAAGCTAAAATATGCATGTATGCATATTTGTGCCTTGTACAAAGTAAACAACATAAAAACGTTAGTTGTCATTTTCTAGAACCACGGACTTGCAGGATTTTAGTTTTGTAAGGGCTTTCAGGGGCCATGTGGTCCAAATCCTGAGGAGAATGAAGTTCAGAGACCGCAGTGATGCCCAGATGGGAGCAGAGCTGAGAAAAGTGCCCATGTGGGCCTGGATCCGGGAGCAGAGCTGAGAAAAGTGCCCATGTGGGCCTGGATCCGGGCTCAGTGTCTTTCCTTGGTACTACATGTAACCTACAAGGTCTGGTCACTTGGTCTGACTTGGCAGATTCAGACCTTTGAGCCAACCAACCACTTTAAGGAGTTTGAATACATAATGCTACATTGTTTCCTGATCTGTGATCAATACCAGAGACAACTGGAGTGTGAGGAGTAGTGTCTGTACCTTGTCTTCCATAATTGTGGCCACATCTGGCAGGCCCCTTACGACTTTGGCACGATCTATTAAGAGAAAAGAGACACAAGGGATGAATCCTTTCTTGCTGGCTGCTTTACAGAAGCAGGTTTTCACATAGTTGAGATTTATTTTTAAGCTAGGCTTCTTTTTTCTATTTTAAACATTTTGGATAGAATCCTTTAAAATTTAAAGACATTTCTTTGCCTTCGAAACAGAAGATATGGGATGTGCCATTGTGGTGCAATGGATTAGTTTTATATGGCCTTTCTTGCCATGATCTTGTAGCTCCCACCAAATGACTGGGTGGGACTATGCAAATAAGGTGCATGTGACTCACCAACGGGATTGAACAGCTTACAATAACGCAAATAAGGTGCATGTGGGGCTGTTGCTGTTGTTAAGTACTGATGAGTCAGTTCTAACTCATCTTAAGGAGTGACTTAGAGTATGAACCACCAACCTTGTGGTTAGCAGTCCAGTGCTTATCCTATAGTACTGCACCAGGACCATGTAAATAAGGGGATCAGTTTTGTCATCCCAGAGGTGGAAAGGGGAGACCTGAATATCACCAAGAAGGAGAGATGGGAGTGGAGCGCCTCCTTTGACTCTGGGGTCCCTTGTGCTAGGAATCTCCTGGACCTAGGAGACAGAGAGCTGTAACACTAGAGATGGCGAGAAGCAGTGGCAGAGAAAGGTATCAGCAGAATTAGGAGACAGGCAAGAGATGGAGTGGAAAAGCTGAATGTGTTTGGGCAGGAGGCTTGCTGGTAGAGTGGGGGTACCTTTAGGCACTTACTGGTAGAGCTAAAGAGCTTTGTAACACAAGCTCAAGTAGCAGAGACCTCTTTGGTCCCCAAAGCCTGAGAGACCGAGGAGCTAAGGGTCAGATAGAATACTGTCTGTGGGCACAGCTGAGAAGAGGCTGTGCTGATTAAAGAATGGCATACCGAGTCATTTTTGATCCTGAATTGTAGCCTATTACTTCCCTGGTAAACGCTATAATAGTTGAGTATTGTCTATGAGCTCTGTGTGACCACTGCAACAGATTATCAAGATCAGCCAAGAAGTAGAGAGTTTTATAGGAGGGGCAGCTGGTTGGAGAGAGGAAGTATGTCTGACTTCCGCTTCATAGAAATCAACCTGGGGCTTAATGCTGATGTGGATTCTCTCTCCCCATCTTGAAGCTAGAAGAGGTCAGATGCTTCTGCCACTCCATGTATACTGTTTTTGTCACTGATATGAGGTTGTCATTAAGATTGTGGTTCCTGGGGGTGACAGTGAGGTGCCCCTCCCTCAAGAACTGGGAAAGAAGGTTAATTTAAATCCACACACAAAGGCTGTGTGAACAAGTCAAGGGTGTATACCAAGAAGGGGTCAGTAAAAGTTGGGTAGAACCTTTTAGTATACTTGACTCTGGTCAAGGGAGGGTCCTAGTGCCATTGTGGGTGGACAGGAAAAGAATGTGGTTGTAGATGCCTGTGTGGAAAGCCAATATATTCCTTATACTGCATTTGAGGCTATGGGACCAGAAGGGAGTGATCAGAACAGACCCTAGACCAAGGACCAGGGAAGTACAAAGAGCTCAAAGCTGGCTGCCCAGAGGATGTAAGGGAACAGAATCCTGAACTAAGTGGGGAAGGTTCCCAGAGATGGACAGTGATGTAGAGCAGAAATGCTACCCCAGCCTGTTCCAGCTGGGATGAGATGACCCATGCTTCTTGATGAAGAATCCATAAGCTCTAGCAACCACGTGTTGGTGAATTCAGCTTCCCTTTGTTGGGGGTTCTGGCTGGGGCACAGAATTCCAGAGGGGATGACTTTGCCCAGTAAATGATCAGACTGGTAGTGTGATCTTTTCAAAAACTTTCACTGGGCAGGCTGAGGCCGGTCTAAGCCATGCTCTTTCCACCACAGTGGACTCCTGTTGCAAGGCCTTCTGGGTGTATAGCTGTTTATAACACTCCAATGTCCCCTTTTAGATTCCAGTTAGGGATGCCAAGACTGTATTCTCTGTCAAGTGAAGACACTCAGAGATGAAGATTCTATGCAGGACAAATCCGTTGCTGTTGTCTTTAGCTGCTGTCGAGTTGGTCCCCAGTGCACAGTAACCCTGTGCACAACAGAATGAAATGCTGTCTGGTCTCGTGCCACCCCCATGGTTGGTTGCAGCTTGGGCTGTTGTGATCTGTAGAATTTTCACTGGCTTATGTTTGGGAGGCGATCACCAGGCCTTTCTTTGTAATCTCTCTTGGTCCAGAAGCTCTGCTGAAAACTATTTAGCATCAGAACCACACGCAAACCTCCACTGACAGATGGGCGGCAACTGATTCCCACTCTCCTGTTTCTTACAATTGTCAATTCCTTCCTTGCTGCTGGGCTGCTTTGCTCTGCTTTCCTTTGAAATGCCTACTCCTGATCTTCTGGGCCAGTAAGACCAGAAAGCCAGAATCCTCAAAGACAGGGTTCTTAGAGCTGGCTGAGGGAGTCTGATGAATGGAAACCGCACTTAGAGGCCATGGAGCATCCTTCTGGGATTGGGGCTGTGTCCTGAATTAGACAGATAAGGCTCCACTACCTGGTTTAACACCTATTCCTGCCCCCTTGTCTGTGCCTCACTCACTCGGCAAGGCCTGCCCAGGCCCTTTCCCTTTGTCCCCTGCCTTTGAAGGCCCAACACTGCTGGTATGCCTGCTTGGCACCAGGCCGGCCTGGGCACGTCCATGCCCACAACCTCTTTTGTATCTTCTGCCTTCATCCTGCCCAAGCCACATCTTCCAGGACAGCTCCATCCGAGTCCAGAGCTATAGGCAGATTCCACTAGGGACTGAACTTCAGCTGCTCAAACCCAGAAACAAGAAACTGAAAATATCAGTAGACTTACTTTTCTCGATGATGGCTGCGGCTCTGAAAAACAGAATATGACAAAGTTCCATTTGTGAAAGGACAGTCTCGTCCAGCTGGGGTTACAAGGTGATGAGGGAAAGGGCTCCAGGAAGGGGAGTTGTTATTGTTAAGTGCTGTTGAGTCGGTTCTGACTCATAGCGACCCTGTATGGGATTTCCGAGGAGTGACTGGTAAGTCTGAACATTGTGGTTCAAACTGACCCTGTGGTCTAGTGCTTATCCTAGAGCGCCACATCAGGACTCCCCAGGAAGGGGTACTTGCACAGTTTGTGCCACCCTCCGAGGGCCCGTGATTGGCACATAGAATCATAGGGAGACTTACTTCAATCGCTGGTGCTCAGCCAGGGCGTCATCAAAAGCTGAAAGAAGGAAAAAGAGGGAGGGGGTGGGTGAGTGGTTCTGCCCATGTGACCCCTAGTTACAGAGCTAAGCACAGGTCTGTTTCTCCCTTCCTTTCTTCTCCCTTCCAGACCCTTTTAGGGCAGGGATCCCCCAAACAGCCATGAGGTTTTGTAATCATGCTTCTCTGTGGACAGACGGGTGGATGGCTCACCTTGCCCTGAGAGATCTGCTGAGAGCTGCCGGGCTTCCTTGCCGGCAGCTATCTCCAGGACGTATTTGCCCTTGTCTGAGTCTTTGGGGTCCAGGATGTGAAGCCAGATCTCATTCAGGGTGGTGCCAGCCCTCACCCGGTCACTGCTCTCCAGACGTTTCTCTCTGAGTGGGAGGACAAATCAGTGGTTAACACAACCCGCTGAGCCCCACAGTGCCCTAGGTACAGACTCCCTCCACTCCACACTCCTCTCCTGATACCTGAGCTGAGCCTGTTGACCATTCATGAGACAATCAATACATATTCATCCACTCATTCCTTCATTCACACATCACCTGTGTGCCAGCATGGAGTTTGGCATTGTGAGGTGTCCTGCAGGTTGGGCCTCTAAAGAAACCGTGCTCCAGAGTTTGTGTTTGAGCCCTGGTGTGACACTGTAGGATCAACACTGGACTGGTAATCACAAGGTCGGCAGTTCAAACCCAACAGCCACTCTCAGAAACCCTGTACAGGGTCACTATGAGTTGGAACCTGCCAGATGCCACTTAACAACAACAGAGTCGGTGATTACCACCTCCCTCACCGTGGGAGGCACTTCCTCAGCTCTTCTTTCTGTCCATCTAAAGCTCTCCTGGAATTTTCATCTCATAATCATAGTTTCTCAGTCAGGTTAATCGCCTTCCCTTCCTTACTTAATTTCATTCCTCAAGACACCTGGTTGATGCTCCATGCTATGTTGTAAAAGTGTCACTGAGACTGGCTAGGAAGGTCTGTTTCCTAGAATTCAATCTGGCCTTGGCTCTCACTTGTTTGACAAATGTAACCAAGTCAGTCTAGAATTCCTTATAGAATGGGTGCAGTAATATCTGCTCCATGAGGCTGAGGTATGCATGTGATCCTAGAAGCTTTGGGAAAACTTTTGCTACCAAACTATATGGGGTCACTTAGCTGCTGGCTGAGACACTGTTCCTGGCTTCAAGCTCTAGCCTTCTGTTAGTTCCAGCTGCATAAGTCCATTCTGTCTTCACCTTTCCCCTGAGCAGGGGTGTCTGACTACCTGAGTTTGCTAAAGCTACAGTGGCCCACAAGGGCACCATAGCCCCCCTTGATCATCTGGCTCTTCTTTGCTCCGTTATTCCCTCCCTCTCCCAGTTCTCAGATGCTGCTCTGAGATAATGAGCCTGTTGTGGCTATGGATATTCTGGAAAAATAGTCCGCCACCAGGTTCTTACCTTCCCGGTGGGACGCTGGGGTAGGCCCTTTGACCCCTCTGACTGCTATTGTCTATCCCTGCAAGACCAGTGGGAAACTCTCATCTCTGCCAACCCCCTAGGACTCTGCTCCGTTGGAGGGCCTGTGTGGGGCGTGGGGAAAGCCCCTCTGGGCGGGGTCTGAGGCCCCTCCAGCTGGTTAAGACTCCAGGGCGAGGCAGACTTACTTGTGGAACCAGGTGGTTTTCATGTAGTCCATATTGTAGTACTTGACCTCACTGAAGATCCGGATTCCTTCCTCAGTCCCCTGGATCTTCAGTGGGGCTGCAGAAAGGACTGGGGAGGTGGAAGAGAAGGGTGAGTCTTCCCTCTGGCCCTCTTGGCAGCATGTTTTAGGGCCAACCTGTTCACTCCTGCTCTGGGGATTGGGGGGTGGGGATGGGGATGCAGAATGAAGTATTGTGGGGAGACAGGAGCTTCTTCCCATCTTTGAGGTTGGAAACCAAGCCTATCCCCTGGTAATGGAGGCTGACTGGGGGTATCCCTGGAGGCTGTATGGCATCAGGGCAGGGCTGGGCAAAGAAGTAAGCTTGCTTACCACCAATCCTGCCCAGCTCAGTGAAGAGAGCATCCAGGGCTGGAAGGAGACATAGAATGGTCATGGTCAGCTGGCAGAGGCTCCTCCAGGGACACAACAGAAGAGGGTATTCTTTGCAAAGGTTGGTGGAACTCACATGCCACTCTTGGGCACAGGGAGCTCTGCAGGCCAGCTCCATGGTTTGGCAATGGGAGGGGTTCAGGGGCGCTCAGTGACTGGTACAGTGCAGGGGCACCATGGATGGAGGGCAAATAGGTTAAACTGAACAGTGTCTCGCAGGCTGAGCTGACCAGCCTGATGAAGAACCAGGGCCACTGGGGTGCAGAGGAGTGAACAAGGCAGGGGTTCCCATGCCTGAGCTTGCTGTGGTATATGCAGTGATCACGGGCCTCAGAGTCACATAGACCAGATATTGGCTTGCTGTGCTAACTTGGACAAGCCATTTACCCTCTCTGTGTCTCAGTGTTCCCAAGTGGCATGAAGATCCGATACATTTTACCCCACAGGACATGCCATAGTCTCTGGTCTGCTTGTGCACCCCCAAGTTTCCTCCTGGCCCATCTACATGGCCAGCTCCCACCTTCACCGGAGAGGTCCAGTGTGGTATCATCTTCCCCACGATCATCAGAAACCACCGCTCTGTAAATTCCTCTGTCCTCCTCGGAGAACTGGAGAGAAGAATGAGAGATGGCAGTGTCCGCATGGGTTCCAGTAGGTGAATCCCCAGGCCTGAGCTTAACTTTCCCTGTGACCCTCTGGGCTCAGTTTCCCGGCTGTGATGAGATGGGGCTGAGCTGGATGGTCTCCAAAGTTCCTTCCTGGAGCTTGTGGGCTCTTGGATTCAACTGGTCTGGGCCTCGGGCTGGGACTGGTGGAGTTGAGGGCAGAAATAGAGGCTCCTCATTTGGATTCCAGCCCAGTGCAGCGAGCCCTGCTTGCCAGCAACTCTGAGCTGCTTGCATCCTGACCTTGGATGGAGGAACTCCTCTGCACGTTCCCAGGAGGCTGTGCGTTTTCTATCATCAGGACAAAGAACACCTCCTGGCACATTGCTCATCAAACGGAAGCTGAACTGACACTCAGTAAAGCAAAGTCTGGTGGCTACTTTTGGCCTTCTTACATGGCACTTCCTACTGGGCCCAGGAGTAATAAATATTTGCTTCCTAGTAAAGGAGCTCTGGTAGCGTAGTGGTTACGAATCAGGCTGCGAATCTTAAGGCCAGCAGTTCGAAACTACCAGCCACTCCACGGGAGAAAGATGAGGCGTTCTGCTCCCGTAAAGATTTACAGCCTCGGAAACCCTGTACAGGGTCGCTCTGGGTCGGAACCAACTCAACAGCACTTAACAACAACAACCACCACCAACAAAATACCCCTCTGATCCCTAGTACGAAGGAGCTCTGGTAGCGTAGTGGTTAGGAGTCAAGCTGCTAATCTCAAGGTCAGCAGTTCGAAACTACCAGTCATTCCAAAGGAGAAAGATGAAGCTTTCTGCTCCCGTAAAGATCTACAGCCTCAGAAACCCTATACAGGGTCACTGTGAATCAGAACTGACTCCAGGGCACATCACCACCACCACCATCACCATCCCTACTGGGATCCAAGACAGAGGCAGTTCTTGACCTGGGGGGGTCAAGGGGCTGAGATCCAACAGTCCTCTCCTAGTCTCCCCAGCCTAGTGAGACTCCAAAGTCCCAGTCAAACCTAGGGGTGGGAGACTGGAGTGATTTCTGACTTAGCGCTCTAGCTTTGTGTCTTTGCACATAAACTCCATGGGTCTCGTTTACTCATCTGTAAAATGTTGGCATAATCCTTCAATAGAGGCAACTCTTTGGAAGCCAGGAAGTTCTGCATCAAGGGCGTGGATGATGATAACAAGACTCGTGCAGCCATCAATACGTATTAATCACCTACTGGTCAGGATTTGGGAGAAGACTCTGAAATCAGCATTTCCTTTCTAGTCAGCAAACCCACATTTGCTCTAGTCCTCCCTGGTATTCCAGAAATCAGCAGTAGGGCAGAAAAACACTGAATTTTTAAGAGCAAGCAGTATGTTTCTCTCTTAACCAGGCCACACACTTTCCAAGTCCATGGGAGAGAGCTTGGGGGAGAATTAGGCGCCAGACCTTACTTTGTCCTGCCCCATCTGCTGGACACTGGGACATCCTTTGCTGTTGCTGTTAAGTGCTGTCAAGTCAGTTCCGACTCATAGCCATCCTGCATAGGGTTTCCGAGGAGCAGCTCGTAGGTTTGAGCTGCCAACCTTGTGGTTCGCAGTCCAGTGCTGATCCACAGTGCCACACCAGCCCATGGGACAGCCTCTGACCTGCTCATATCACACATGAAAATGGAGGGCAGCCAGGGGCCGTGGCTAGCCCAAGGCTACACAGAGAGTCAGTGGTGGGGCCAGAAGTAGGGCTCTGGGTAGAGCCACACCCGAGTCTAAGACAAATCTGCCTTTAGTTATGATTTTGGCATTTTGTTTCTTCTGGCATTCATTTTGAATTGGTTCAATACTGTATGAAAACATGACTTCTCTTGATGACTAACTGATATGGTGTCCCCTTAAACTGCCCTGGGCCAGTGCCTCCGTGGCCTCACTCCTCACGCAGTACTCAGCTCACAGTAGGTAGCGGGGGTGAACCCTGGCACTGCACTGACCTCCTGGAAGCACAGAAGCCCTGCTCCAGTCTGCGGGTCGTACTGACCATCTGGCATCTCTTGCTTCTGGAAGAACCATTGGAAGCAAGTCTCCTTCTTAGTGTTGGTCACCTGAGGATGGGGGAGGGGGAAGAGGAGACTCCATCAGACTTTCTCTCTTGTTAAGTAAAAACTCAGCTCATCAGAAATTGTCTTACAGCATAGTGCCCCTCACTGTGCCCCCCACTCCACATAGGCACACTCATGTTATGTCTCGGCTGACTTTTCACTCTTTCCTCATACCGTGTCTCCTCTGCCGACTTCTGCATTCTGGGCTTTTGCTGATGGTGTTTCCTCTGACAGACAGTTGAACCCCACCCTACTCTACTATTTTTCTTCACAAATTCCTGCTCTTTTTAAAGACTCAGAAGACATCTCCTCCAGGAAGCCTTCCTTCAAGCATCCCGAGTGCCTGCTACACTCTGGTGGATTAAGTCTTGTATACGTCTCTATAGGAGTCTTATTGTAGTGCTGTAGGATAAGCACTGGACTGCTAACTGCAAGGTTGGTGGTTCAAACCCACCAGTTGCTTCTCAGAAACCCTATAGAAGGTCACTAAGAGTTGGAATCAACTCAATAGCATTTAACAACAACAACAACAACAACACATCTCTGTCTCGGCATGAGGTCTGTGGTTTTCCAACAATCCTGCCTTGGCATATGGGCTCCTGGAGGTCTGGGGGACACCTCCTCAGGGTCTAGTAATATCTGGTACACAGGAGGGGTGCACAGATGTGGCCCCACTGCTGCTGAGGGGCCTCCTGCCTCCCCTTCCGGCTATCTATAAGAGACTGCACGCTGCGGAATCAAGTTTCAACCTGGCAGCTTTGGAACAGACAGATTTGGCTACACCTTGGGCTTTCTCTCTTGCTATGTGGCTGGCCTTAGGCTATTTCCCCACTCAGTTTCTCCTGTGTTAAAGCTATGATAGGAATGCCTATCTCATAGATGGCTGAGAGGAAGATAAAGTAATACTGTAGAGGGATGGAGTACAATGTCTGGCAAAACTAATAATCATTAACCGACTCACTCACAGGCTCCCCGCTCCTGCCCCCAGCCCCCGCCACCCTACTAGCTGCACAAAAGCTCTTATAGAGTGCAGCAGCAAGACTAATTCTAGATTCCTTCAGGAATGGTTCCCTTTCACTACTTTCTAGGTATAGGATTAGCCAAACACAGGGTATTTGGGGCTTGGGGACCAGCTACACAGGTCTCCCCCAACAGAGCCTGGGGGCCAGAGCTGGAGGTAGGGTCTGGGATTTGCCTTGCACATCAGCAGCACTTGGCAGTCCTCTGTGACCTTCCACTGCAAAGGCTCCTGGAAATAGGGACCTGCAAGTGCAAAACAGACATGCCCACCTGGTCAGAGCGCCAGGCTCCAGAAGGGCGCCATCTGGTGGAAGAACAAGGGAAGCCAGAGGGGAGGGACACCTCAGATCCTGCTTGCACCAAGTACCCAGAGCACAGAATTTAAAGCTGCATTCATTCTCAGTGTTAAACTGCTTGGTTTGGCATCAGGACAGACTTGACAAATTGCAGGGGACCCTCCCAGCAGGGTGGAGACACCCACTGACCAAATTTCCCCCACTGACTACTTTTGGGATGCCCCAGGCTTCTGAACATCACCTCCACAACTCTTACCCTGCCTTCTCTTCCAGTCTCTTCTCATAGCATCCGCCTTCCTCAGAAGTTTGTCAAAATCTGTGGACACAAAAGGAGGAACTGGCATGAGCCAAGAGGAGTGCAGGTCCATGGAGGGGACTTCAGGATAGCTAAGAAGGCTGGGGAGATGCTGTGCAGCCCCAGAGCAGGGAGCAGAGAGCCCTCGGGGGAGACCAGGGGCAGGGCAGGCGGGCAGTGGGGTGGGCTGACCATCATCCACCAGTGCCAGGGTGATCTGGTTTTTGGCTTTTCCATCTTGGAGCTGAGCAGTGTAGGACCCCTTGTCATCCTCAGACAAGTTCTCGATGATCACTTCCACCAGACCCTTTGCTCGGTCAAAATTGATCTTGCGATTCTGGAGAGAACAAATATCTAGTTTTGTTTTACATGTTTCTTATTTCCCAGAAGCTTGTGTCTGGAGCACAAATCAGGGTATTAGACTGGGTGTGGCGACCCCCCTGGGCCTGACAGATGAAGGAGTGCTTGATACCAATGACAATGGAACATTAATAATAATTCCAATTCCTGTTACGTCAAACTTTTTAGTTTTTCCTTCTTTTAAAATTTGATAGGAAAAAACCATAAAAATATAAACAATAATATAAAAAACCCTGTGTACTTGCTACCCAGAACTAGCACCCATTTTACTTTTTGCAGTATTTGCTTCCTATTTCTTTTTGAGGAACAAAGCATTGTTGATCAAGTAGAAGTCCTCAATTTCCTTGAGCCCCCATTTTTGTTTCCTTGTTTCCATCTCCGGGAGTGGAGCTCTGGTGGTATAGTGTGTTATGTGTTGGGCTTAATACCAATTACTAACCACAGGCTCAGCAGTTCAAATCCACTAGCCACTCCGCAGGAGAACGATGAGGCGTTCTTCTCCCGTAAAGATTTATAGTCTCAGAAACCCTATACGGAGTCACTATGTGTTGGAACCTACTCAAGGGCATATAACAACAACATCCCTACGGTCAACCACTCTTGGTATATATCCAGTTCATGTTTTTATATTTTTACTATAAATATATGCATCCATCAATAGCATATGCATTCTTTTGTACATCTTTTAAAGCCTATGTAAATAAAGCCATACTGTATTATTCTTTGGAGTTCTGGTGTGGTGCTGTGGGGTAATGTGCTGGACTGCAAATTTGCTTTGAACCACAAGGTTGGCAGTTCAAGCTCACCAGCCGCTTCTCGGAAACCCTATACAGGGTAGTTATGAGTTGGAACTGACTTGATGGCCTTTAACAACAACAACAACAACATATTATTGTTATCTTTAACTAGCATTTTCCATTCAATATTATGTGATTTTTTTCATGTTCAAATGTGTAGGTACAATTCATTCACTTTTACCTGCATCATACTATTCCATCACATAACTCTACACCATCACTATTTACCTGGTCCCTTAAGATGAAGATTTTAGTTGTTCCTTTTCTTATTGCTGGGACAAACAAAGCTGCAGAGACATATTGGGACATGTGTTTAGAAGCTCTTCTAGGATACATAGCTGATGTGGAATTGATGAATTGTTGTTGTTAACTACCGTCGAGTTAGTAACCCTGTTTAGGGTTTCCAAGGAGTGGCTGGTGAGCTTGAACTGCCGACCTTGCAGTTCAAACCAACCTTGCAGTCCAGCACATTAACTCACAGCGCCATACCAGGATTCTAGGAATTACTGAACAGAGTATGTGAATTTGGGCTTTATTTTCTGTTGCCAAATGGTTCCAACATGGTTGTATCAATTTGAACCCTCCACCGGGTGTGAACACTCTGTGGCAACACTGAATATCGACAGACATTCGGTCACATTAGCTAAATACCTTAAAATGTGCATTCCCCAATTGCTTAGGAACACCATGGGGCTTCCGCATTTTGTGAGTTAGTTCTTGAAATCCTTTGACCAACTTTCTTTTTATTGCTTTTTGTTTGTTTTCGTATTAATTTGTAGAAGTTAAAAATATACACGTCTGTATTGTTAGCCTTTGTCTTTTGCAAGTATCTTTTCACAATCAGCTGCTTATTTTAAATTTTAAGTCTCTGAGGCAGTGGTCCTCAACATCCCCAAGGACTGTGAATAATACTAATGTCTTTTTTGTACAAACTAACTTTACAGTTGTGATGTGGTCAACTTTATCTATTTTCTGTGCCTTGGTTAAGAATGCCTCTTCTTGTCTCAGGTCCTAAAGCTCCTTTTCAATAGTCTCTGCTAGTTGTTTAAATAAAAAAATTACTTTCCACATTATACCTTCATTTGAAGGAGTGATCTAATTTTCTTTTCCTATGTGGCACCATAGGATAAGCACACAACCTCAAGGTTGGTTTGAACTGCAGTGTTAGTGGTTCAAATTCACCAGCCGCTCCTTGGAAACCCTATACAGGGTCGCTATGAGTCAGAATTGACTTGATGGCACTCAACAACAACAACAATAGGGAAACCAACTTTCCCTGTCCTGTGTATAGAGCTGATACTTTGTCACACATCCTTCGTCATGTGCCAAGGCCATAATTATTATTTGCAGAGAACTTTCAATATGATTTTCTCATTGATCTTGACTGAGTTTATGTAGCCCACAGAAGGTGGGCATTAATCTTCTGACTTCTAGACCAGTGGTTTCCTCTATGTCAGACCAGTGCTTAGTCTGACATGACCAGACTTGACCATTTGGAGATGAAATCCACAGACAGCATGAGACTGAATGCCATCCTTATAGTTGAATACTGGAAACTCATATGGTGTAATTCATACCTATCTGCATAAATAATTAAAAAAACAACCAATGTAGTATTTTGAGTGTCATCTGAAGATGAAATAAAAGCCGTTTAAACAAAATAATATGTATTCAATATGTAGATGCTTAGACACATGCTGAGGACAGGGATTCTAAAACTAAGGCTCTTGGTATGACCAAAACTTCTGACAGAAGTCCTAGGTCAAATCTCTTCTTGTCTTGAGTGGTTCCATTTTGTGTTTTTAAAGACAGTTTCTGTCAGACATTCAGCCTGGCACCTCTGCATAATTTCCATTGGATCTTTGACTTAGATATAAACAGTTTCTACAGAAAAATGCAGTTTCGCCCACTCTGTTCTGCTTATTTCAAATCTGAGGTTAGAAATGGCTGATATTAAGAAAAGATTATTCAATCTGTATAGTAAGCGTGTTAAGTATGTGACGTTAGTGACTAGCCAAACCCTTGTTGTTAAGTGCCGTTGAGTCAGTTCTTATAGTGACCCTATATAGGGTGTTCAAGGAGCAGCAGGTGGGTTTGAACTGCCGACCTTGTGGTTCTCAGTCCAGTGCTAATCCTATAGCACCACACTAGGCCCTCCTAAAGAGATATTTTTCTGACCCCAGTTTTCAATATTCTATCCTCAGGAATAATTGTGTATTTATATGTTCTAGGAAATTTCTGCTCAGCAATATTTGGTCACCCGAAGCCTCCTCTTTGCAAAGGAAGTCAGTTTCCTGCAAAAGTGATCAACCAAGAGATGGCCACCTGTAACTTTGTGAATGTCAACCAATCAGAAATGCCCCAACTATACTAACTTTTATCCTTACTAACTTACTAACTATAGTTCCTGGGAACACTCTGCCAAGACCTTCATAACTCTGTAGCTTCCTGTTTAGAAAATGCCCGTTTTGCAATAACAAAATCATCGTTTTTCATTTTAAACAGACTTATAGATCTTTCACTATCATAAACCTCACTCTGTTGAAGTAGTCAGATGCTGATACCAATTTATAATGAATTGGTTTGGATTTAAAAGAAGTTCTATAAATAATCAGAACACGGAAGGTTCGAAATATAAATCTAGGAGAATTGGATGCTGTCAAAAATGAGATGGAATACATAAATATCTATATCCTAGACATTAGTGAGTTGAAATGGACTGGTATTGGCCATTTTTAATTTGACAGTCACGTGGTTCACTATGCAGGGAATGACAAATTGAAAAGGAATGGCATCACATTCATCATCAAAAAGAACATTTCAAGATCTACCTTGAAGTACAACATTATCTATGATAGGATAATATATATATGCCTACAAAGAAGACCAGAACATTTCAAAGGGTAGCTCAAAAAGACAAAGTCAAATATTATATTGAAATGTGTAAAGACATGAAGTCAGAAAACCAAAAAGGAAGAACACGCTTAGTATTTCTGAAGCTGAAAGAACTGAAGTAAAAATTCCTGCCTCTACTTTGCAACATTGAAGGATTCTATGGAGTTCTGGTATGGTGCTGTGTGTTAATGCAGCAGACTGCAAAGCTGTTTGAACTGTAAGGTTGGTGGTTCAAGTTCACCAGTGGCTCCTCGGAAACCCTATACAGGGTTGCTATGAGTTGGAACCAGCTTGATGGCACTTAACAACAACAATGGGCAAAATATTGAATGATGCAGAAAATATCAAAAGAAGATAGAAAGAACACACAAAATCACTGTACCAAAAATAAACGGTCAATGTTTGACCATTTCAAGAGGTAGCATATAATCAGAAGCCAATGATACCGAAGAAAGACATCCAAGATGCATTGAAGGCATTGGCAATGAACAAGCCTGTGGAATTAGAGGAATACAAATTAAAATCTTTCACTGGAGGCACTCACTCAACTATGCCAAGAAATTTGGAAGACAGATACCTGGCCAACTGACTGGAAGAGATCCACATTTGTGCATATTCCAAAGAGAAGTGACCTAACGGAATGTGGAAATCACTGGACAAAATCATTAATGTTACAAACAAATAAATTTTTACTAAAGATAAACCAAAAACGGCTTCAATTATACATTGACAGAGAACTGCCAGAGGTTCAAAGCGGATTCAGAAGAGGCTGTGGAACAAGGGATATCATAACTGACATCAGATGGATCTTGACTAAAAGCAGAGAATGCCAGAAATACCTGCACTTTATTGATTATGCAAAGGGTTTCAATTATGTGGATCATGACAAGCGATGAACAACATTGCAGAGAATGGATATTCCAGAAAATTTGGAAACATTATACTGAGGAAAATAAATCAGTTTCAAATGGACAAATATTGTATGATTTCCTTGATATGAAATAAGTAAATATACAGAAACCAACAATTATTAAAATTTAACAAGAGTGGGAGAGATCAGGAAAGGGGGTATTTTTTGTTTGGGAGGCACTGAGTTAATGTTAATGATGGTGGAATGTCTGGCTGGACAAACATTGCGTGTTGAAGTGTCCCTCACACTGGTGAGCATCTAAAGACCCTTACAGACGTACTAAAAACCAGGTGCTCCATCTTATCCCTTTGATCAAGTACCTTAGCCTTTTCTACACTATCCGCTAGGGGGAGTACTGGTCTGTGGAGAACTGCTGCCCAGTGAGGCCATACAGTGGGCCTGAAAACCTCATTGAAGAGGAAATCTGTAATTACCGGCGAGCTGAAGATCTCCTTCTCATTGAAGATTAGATGCAACTCAGCAGCGGGAGATAACTTTTCTACTTCCAGCCAAAGTCGCACTTCTCCTCGCTCCAGCACCTCCACATGCCAGCCAGAGATCCGCTTGATAACTGGGAGGCACAGGACAGGAAGGAGTGGGTGGGTGACCCCCTTCCACTTACCCAACTCCCAACCAGCCCCACTTTGAGTGCACAGCTGGCATTTAACCTGCATGACTTTTGGAGAGCTGGAAGGAGACACAGCCTTGGTGGGCATCTGAGGAGGGTTGTCTGCAGGCTCACTTGAGACCTAATCTCAGGCAAGCACTTTCTCCTCCAGTGGTCCCTAACGTGACAGTGCATTGGAATTCCTGAGAATTTTTAAAAAATTACTATTGTCTGGGTTCCACCTCCAGAGAGTCTGATTTAATCAGGCAGGGGTTCAGCCTGGGTATTGGGGCTTTGTTTTTTAAAGCTCCCCAGGAGATTCTAATGTGTAACCAACACGGTAGCCCCAGCTCCAGCGACCATATTCCACCCCTACTAACAGAGGGAAGCAGTGGTTCAGATGATTTAAAATCCAATAATAAACAAGAACCAATAACAACAACTTGCTACAGAAGAAACCACCCACACTTTCCTCCCTCACACCTCCTTTGCTCCCTGCTGTCTGCCCTTTCCTGTGGACCACTGACTTCCTGCCCTCCCCTCCCTGACTCTTTGCCTTGGGGTTATTTTCTGGCTCCCAGCTCTGCTCAACAATACATCTCAATGGGCTCTGTGAGAGCTCCCTAGGCTGGTGGCTTGGAACAGCTTACCTGGGTTTTTGATCTCATGACTTAGCTTCTTTAGCTTGTCCAGCTCTGGGGCAGGGAGGAACAGGAAGAAAGCAGAGAAAATGCACTATTAGTCAGGTTTGTAGAGAGCCATGCTTGGTCTCTATGCTAGGTGAAAAATCCTCCCCTGATGTCCTAAGAACCTTTCTCCCCCACTGGGGGTCACTTAGCTACACAGGAATTGGTGCTGGCCATTGAAGGCACTGGAGTCCTGGTGTGGCACTGTGGGTTAATGCACTGGACTGCAAGGTCGGTTTGAACTGCAAGGTCAGCAGTTCAAACTCACCAGTCACTCATCGGAAACCCAATACAGGGTTGCTATGAGTCAGAACCAACTCAATAGCCCTTAACAACAACAACAACAACATTGAAGGCATTAGCCCTGGGACTCCCAGGGAGATGTTAGGGCTCTGGCTGGGTGCCTGGAGATTGCCTATTCACCCTCTTCTTTAAGACCCAGAATAAGTCCCACCTCTTCAGAAACACCTACTATTTGCCACTGTCTGTGCTGCACTGCCATATTTGGTCCTCGCACAGTGAGGTCGGGTAGACATGACTGTCCCCCTTACATAAGTGGTACCTCCCAGACCACTCCAGGCTTCATGGATTTCAGAGCCCCATTACCACTAACCACTGTAGTATGGAGTCCTAGCGTCGAGATCTAGACTCACTGGGAGCACCTCAGTCTAGAAGGTTCTGTGCTGCCTCCCTTGCTAGTACTTTGTTCAGATTTGTCTCTTCAGCTAAACTAGGCTGTGGTCCTACACCAGTGTCTGGTGCCCCTAGAACTGGGGTTGTTGTGTTGTTGTTAAGTCGAGTAGGTTCCGACTCATAACAGCCCTGTATAGGGTGTCCGAGAAGTGGCTGGTGAGCTTGAACCACCGACCTTGTTGTTCAAACTGACCTTGCAGTTTAGTGCATTAACCCACAGTGACACAAGGACGTGGGTTAGTGGGTGAAATGTCAGAGCCCATATGTCATTTTCCTTTATAAGTCTGAGACCTTAACATCAATCCAGGCTCATGGCAAACATCTGGTTTAAAATCATGTATTTTGTGGATGGTTTTAGTGTGTATATAAATCATCTAATTGTATTTACAAAACAATAGTGTTTTACTTCGGGGTTAATCAGGGATTAAAATCCCCCTTTACAGATGAGGAAATTGAAGCCCGAGGTGAAATGACTTGCCCAAGGTCAAATGGTCAGCAAATTGTGGAACTGGGGTCAGAAACTGGGCATCTCTGGCTTCTGCCTCTTCACAAGATCAAAGAGCCTCATGTACGAACCTCAGGGAAGGCAGTGGGTGAGGACTGCCCTTCCGTTGCTATGGCGACACTGCTGTGGTTTGGTTTAATTCACCCATCCATCACCCACTCTCTGGTGTGTCACAATCTCCCCCTCCCTCTACTGTGATGCTCATTCTTGAGGCCAACTGCGGGTTTATCACCAAACTTGCATGGTTATTTCTCTTAGGTTAAAGGAAAAGCAAAACACTTCCGTTATTCCTCCCTTTATCAAAAGTAGAAAGATGAAAGAGAGACAAGAATGTGAACTCCACCAGGCAGGGAGTTCTGTCTGTTGGGTCAGTCTACTGATGTAACCCCTAGTATGTCTAGGAAGGTGCCTGGTATGTGGTAGGTGCTCAGCAGGTATGAACTGAATGAATGATTGAATGAACGAGTGGGTAGGTGAGAGCCCTTGTCTCTCTGAAGACTGCTGATTTCCTCAGTTTCTAGAGACATTTGTGTTTGGGACCTTGATCTGGGTCTCTCTGTCTCTGGGGAGGGGACAGCAGAGCTGGGACATTACCTTCCTCAGTCAGTGTGTGGCTCGCCGAGATGTCTTCATCAGCACCGGTGACCACTACCGAATAAAGGCCCAGATCCTCAAGGCCAGGCTCTTTCAGGATGACCTTGGACCTGGCAGAGAGAGGAGACCCGGGAACTAGAGAGTCTGTGTTGGTTCTGGTGTCCCTGTATCCCACCCTCAGACCTTGGATGACCTGGGAGCCTCACTGGGCCCTTCTGTCCTGGGAAGCTCTGGCCTGGAACCTTCTATAGACTCTGATAGCTGAATCTCTGGCACAAGGTCTGCCCACTAACCACACTGACCTGTCCTCTCTTTCAAGGGCCTGAGGCTGACAGAACTGGGAAGTTAGGAGCTATGGGAAGAGGAATGAGACATAGGGGTGTTTTGACAGGGTCCTTTTGACAAGGGTCTTCATCTGGCTCCACACTCCCATTTTACAGATGAGAAAACTGAGCCCAGAAAACCTTACAGAAATAAGGCTAGAAATCAAGCCCTGGAGCTGAGCATTTCTTCAGATGGACCACGGCGGACACATCCACAATACCTTAGAGAAAAAGAATCTGCAAATAAATGGTGCGGGTTCAGCCTCATAAATGCATCCTCCCTTCATGTGTCTCTAAAGCATCAGACCGCATCGTTGTGAGAGATCACGCAGTCCCTTTGGAACCCGTAACTGTGAGTAACTCTGTTGGCTCTCCTTAGTGCTGCCAACTTGTCGGACCATAAGGTGACCTGTCAAGCAGTTGTGACTTCTTCTCTCCCCTCACTTACTTGTCAACTTCATCTTCGATCTTAACCCTCTGGGGGTCCAGGGGACTCTTATAGTCCTTGGACCATTGAAACTCGCAAGAGTCAGGAGCCTCAGGGGCTTCGAAAGCCAAGTAGATGAGGCCCTCTTCATTGACGCCAACCGAGATGTTCCGGGCATCTGAGGGCAGAATCCAATGGAAGAATCAGACATTTATAAACAGCAAACCAAGCCAGGCCTTCCCCCTGCTTAAATCCTCCAATGGCTTCTCACTGCATTTGAGTAAAAGAAAAATAAACCCACATCTCTTACTGTGGCCTCCAAGACCCTGTAAGATCTGGTGTTTTCTCTGTACAGATGTCATCCCTCAGAGAATCCTCCAGGATACCTGGGATAAGGTAATCCCCACCTGACCATATCATTTTCTTACATTTCCTCTACAAATTACTACACATTATTCTCCTGACAGAGCTGGGCATGTGCTTCCTTCCATACCCACGTACACGAGGGACCTCACTTTCTCACTCGCTGCTACATCCCACTGCCGTGCGACCTCACTATGTATTTGGCAAATGGATGGATAATGAAAAGAATGGAAACATAATACACTCTCTATTTAAGTGAGCTGGGTAATTTGGTAGTGCATTATCTCTATGGCTACATTTAATATCTTTGAGTGGGTTCTAAAACGCCTCCAGGGTTTGTTGCTGTTTGTGTAGAGTAGGAGGAGGTCTCAGGTGCTATGACTGCAAGACAGACAAACATCCAGAAAGAGTTGTAGGGTCCAGAGAAGATGACAAAATGGGAGATTCCATCAAATCTTACAGCAAACATATGCTCATATCCAGCAGTCCCATATAAATAAATGAAGCTGGGGGGGGAGGGGGATGGCAATAGAAGGGGGAGGCATTGCTGGAAGGAGGGGGAGGGACCAGTGGGTGGAGGGACCATCCGTGAGTCTGAAGCCCTGACCTTCTGCAGACCCTCACCCATCTACCCCCATCTACCAGCTCCTCTCAGGCCCACCCTGCCCACCCTGCACAGTAGGTAGAGGCACATTGGCACCCTCCACCCAACCCTACCTGGCTTGTCCTCCAGGAGCACAGGGTCTGTGGGCATTGATGGTTGCCCCAGGCCAGCTGAATTCACAGCCTGTACCTGGAATACATAGGTCTTCCCTGGCTGCAAGTCGGAAACCTGGGGGTGGGGGTGACCAAGAGTAAGCATTGAACATAAGCAAAGATTCACCCTTCCTGCTCCGCTAGCCAGGGCATGCAGGAGATCTCAGGCTGCCCTGTGGGGTAGAGGCAGGCAAGGGCACGTGGCTTTCCTGGGTTCCAGACCCTGAGTTCTAGTTTTCAAATGGCCTTCCATCTACTCTAAGATTATCCCTTCCTCGCACCTCCCCTACTTCCTTCCTCTTCCTCTTATTTCCTCTCTCTCCCTCCCTCCTTTCCTTTCTTTTAAAACTGTTGCAAAAATATTTAAAAGACATTTGCCTATTCAACATTTTTTATGTACATGAGGAGCACAGTGGTTCTATAGTATAAGCACTGGACTGCAAAACCACAAGGTCAGTGGTTCTAGACCACCAGCTGCTCTGTGGGACAAGGCTTTCTGCTCCTGCGAAGATTTACAGCTTTGGAGACTCTACAGAAGGCTACTGTGAGTCGGAACTGACTCGATGGTACCTAATAACAACATAATTTAGTGACATCAATTACATTAATTCCATGAATCAATTTATCCCACTCTTCTGGAAGCCTGTCATGCTGTGGTGGCTTACAGGTTGCTGTGTTGCTGGGAGCTACACTATCGGTATGGTGGACAGGTTTCAGCGGAGCTTCCAGACTAAGACTAGAAAGAAAGACATGGTGGTTTACTTGAGAAAAAATTAGTCATTAACAACCTTATGACTAGTAGTGGGACACTGTTGGATTCAGTGCCAGAAGATGACCCTTCATGTTAAAGGTACTCAAAATACGGCTGGGAAATGTGGATGGAGTCAAACTTTCTGCACCCTCACTTGCTCAAAATGAGAAGAAACAGCTGCAAACAACCAATAATAATCAGATGTAGTCTGTACAAAGTATGAATCTAGGAAAACTGGAAGTTGTCAAAAATGAAATGGAGCACTTAAAAATCCATATCCGAGGCATTCGTGAGTTGAGATGAACTGGTATTGCAATTGTGTTATTGTTAAGTGCCATTGAGTCAGCAATGCACACTGAAGGCTGCAGTCTTCTATGTTCAGAAGCAAGTATTTTAAGTTTACTTTCAGCAAGCAAAGTTGCATCCTTTGCATATTTCAAATTGCTAATAAGTCTTCCTCCAATCACAATGCCACATTTTTAAAAATATAATCTAACTTCTCAGATTATTTGCTCAGCATGCTTTGGGTTAATATGCTGGACTACAAAGTTGCTTTGAACCTCAAGGTTGGAGGTTCAAGCTCACCAGTTGCTTCTTGGAAATCCTATACAGGGTCACTATGGGTCAGAATTGACTCGATGGCACTTAACAACAACAACAATGAGTGTTCCTCCAATCGTGATGCCACATTCTTTTTAGTATGATCTAACTTCATTATTTGCTCAGCATACAGACTAAGTATGGTGAAAAATACACAGCCCTAGAATACATATTTCCTGCTCTTCCACCATTCAGCATCTCCTTGTTCTGTTCTAACAACTGCCATTTGGTCTGTGTACAGGTTCCTCATGAGCACATGAAGCATTCTGGAGTACCCATTTCCCCCAATGTTTCCCATAGTTTGTCATGAGCTACACAGTCAAGTCATTGCATAGTCAATAAAGCACAAGGAGACATCTTTCTGGCATTTATGATTCCAGCCAAGATCCATTTGACATCAGAAATAATATCCCTAGTTCCACATTCTCTTGTCAATCTGGATTAAATTTGTGGCGGTTCTTTGTCTGTATACTGTTGCAACTCTTTTTGAATTATCTTCAGCAAAATTTTACTTGCATGTAATATTAATGATATTGTCCGATGATTTTTGCATTCCGTTTGGACACCTCTCTTTGAAATGGGCACATATATGGATCTTTTGCAATCCGTTGGCTAGGTAGCTGTCTTCCAAATTTCTTGGCATAGTTGAATAAGTGTCTCTAGTGCTGATTCAGTTTGTTGAAAGCTTTCCATTTGTATTCCATCAATTCCCGGTGCCTTGTTCTTTGCCAATTCCTTGAATGCATCTTGGACTTTTTCCTTCAGTATCATTGGTTCTTGATCATATGCTACCTCTTGAAATGGTTGAACATCCACCATTTCTTTTTGGTACCGTGACTTTGTGTATGCCTTCCATCTTCTTTTGATGCTTCCAACACCATGCAATATTTTGCCATTAGAATCCTTCAATATTGCGAGTCGATACTTGAATATTTTCTTCAGTTCCCTCAGTCTGAGAAATACTGAGCATGTTCTTCCCTTGGTTTTCTAACTCCATGTCTTTGCACGTTTCATTATAATATGTGACTTTGTCTTCTTGAGCTGCCATCACAGTATGATAAACTGACAGATTGTTGTTGTTGTTGTCAGGTGACATCGAGTCGGAACCAACTCATAGCGACCCCATGCACAGCAGAACGAAACAATGTCCGATCCTGGGCCAACCTCATATTGTTGCCACTTGGCCAATCCATCTCATTAGGGGTCTTCCTCTTTTTTTCTGACCCTCCATCTTACCCAGCATGACATCCTTCTCCAGCGACAGTTCCCTCCTGACAATATGTCCAAAGTATGAGAGACAAAGCTTAGCCATCTTGGCCTCCAAGGAGCACTCTGGCTGCACTTCTTCCAAAACAGATCTATTGGTTCTTTTGGCTGTCCATGGCACTTTTAGTATTCTCCTCCAACACCATAACTCAAAGGCAAAACTGACAGATGAGTGATGGCCAATCTGATCAGGCTTAATGCTTCACTGCTCTTCTGAATAAAGTGCAAATTTTGATGTAGCCTTTTATTATTTCAAAATATAAGTGTTTTCCCCTAAAGTCTTCCTAATCTAGCTTTAGCCTTGGTTCTCATTCTTCTTCACTCTAGATTCCCTCATGGTCTCTAAGTTCCTCCCGCCATTCATGCCTCCCTCTCTTTGCCCTTGTTAAGCCCGTTATCCCAAACACCATTCCGTCTTTATGCTGTTGTTGTTCTCAAGTGTCGTTGAGTCGGTTCCAACTCACAGCGATGCTGTATAGAGTTTCCAAGGAGTACCTGGTGGGTTTGAACCAATGACTTTGTGGTTAGCAGTTCAGTGCTTATGCTATAGCATCACACCAGGACCCCAATCAACCCCATAAAATTTCTGGATGGATAGAATGGTTCATAATAACAATCGAACACTGCTTCTCAGGGCATAGCAAAACCTTATTATTATTTGTTGTTGTTAGGTGCCATCGAGTCGGTACCGACTCATAGCGAATGAAACACTGCCCGGTCCTGAGCAAACCTCTCAGTTGTTGCCATGCGTGACCCCACTGCATTATTATATTACAGATATTTTAATGTATCTGGAATAATTATATATTTTTAACACATAGAAAAGTAAACTATATAGTCTATACTAAGACAAACATTGACTGAGGGTAGGTATGAGCTATACCTAACTCTCTGACTTATGTACACATTTGACTTAAAGACAGACTTGGGAACATAGCCAGTTCATAATCAGGGAAGTGCCTGTAATGTTAGTACAGACCTCAGAGGGAACTGGGAGATGGGTGAGGCTCTGCAGAAGGTGAGGGCTCCACGCTCACTTTGCTTCTTTCCTAATTTCTCTCCCTTTCTTCCTTCACTTATTTCTGTGGGACCACAAATAGGAACATCTCTTTGCTATTTGGTTTGATGGTATTATTTCCCATTCGTTCTGCACTGGAAGTTCTGGGTTCTTCTAGTCTGTCTTTTCTCCTGGTGTTAGCTCCTGGAATGCATGATCTTGAGAACTGGGCACCCTCCTGCCTGCTAGTGAAAGACACCCCAGGAAATGGAGCTGGAGTATGATTTATTTGTTTCCTAGAGCTGTACAAAATAAAACCTAACTCACCTTACAGGACTGTCCTTATAGATGGAACTTGAACCGAGGAGGCCCCTGAACATGCTGCTTCACAGATGGTGGTGTCCAAGGTCTCTGGTGATCTGAAGTTTGGAAATTCTCAATGGTCTAAGTCAGTAATTTGTGTCTGCTAGTAATGTTCTGGTAGACATCATTGTTTTCTAAAATGGGCTGTGAGTTGTTTTGCCAGATGAAGATGGTTTGCATTCCCTTTCATGTGTGGAAGTTAAAACAGATGATTAAAACTAATGTTCTTCTAGATTTCTTTTCATCCAAAGAGTTGAGTTTTTTCCCATTAAGTTAGCAACACACACACACAAACACAAAAATCAAAATTATCTGCACTCTGGCTGTGGAATTTAATCAATTAAAATACGTCATTTTTTGACACGCTCTCCTTGTTTTTAATACAATTTGTCCCTCTATCAACAAACTTTCATATTTCCTTATTAAAAAAATGTTTTAAGCTGAGCTGCAAGCCATGAATGCACAGCTGTCTTCCCTTCTTCATTTGAGGTGAATCTTTGTTCTTGAAGGGATGCTTCCAGGGGACCAAACAGGTGAAAGTCTGATGGAGCAAGATCAGGACTCTAGGGAGAATGCTTCAACACCTCAAAATGAAGTTTTTGCAATGTCAACAGTGTGGACAGAGTTGTGCAGACGTGCATTGTCATGCAAGATCACAATGCCCTTGGATAGCAGTCCTCTGCATTCATTCTGAAGTTTAAGCTTCAGCTCTTCAGTGCAATGAGCACTGTTGATTGTTGAACCTTTTTCCTGATAGTGTTTCAGTACTAGCCCTTGAGAATCCTAGAAAAAACTGTAAGCATCAATTTTCCAGCTGATGATTGACTTTTGAACTTTTTGTTAGTGAGCAATTGAGGGTGTTTCCATTTCATACTCTGCCGTTTACTCTCAGGCTCATAGTGATGAATCCATGTTTCATCATCAGTAACATTTTTTTAAAAAGAAACTTCACTTTCTTTTGAGTATTGCCCCAAATTTTGTTTGCAGATGTCCAAGTGCCTCTGTTTATGATCTTCGGTGAGTTGTTTTGATACCTATCTTGCACAAACTTTTCAAAACCAAGTCTGTCATGGATTAGTTCATAGGCAGAGCCATGGCTGATTTGCTAATGATTTATCCACTGTCACTCGTCTATTCGACAGAATCATTTCATGTGCACACTCAGTGTTGTCATCAGTTGCGAACATGGATGGACATTTTAATATAACCAGAGTGTGGGTAATTTTTGACTCACCCTTGTGTGTATGTGTATATATATGCTAAATATATATATATATAGGCCCTGGGTGGTGCAAGCAGTTAACATACTTGCTAACAGAAAGGCTGAAGGTCCAAGTCCCTCAAGGTGCCTCAGAAGAAATGGCCTGGTGATCTATTTCTGAAAAATCAGTTGTTGCAAATCCTATGGAGGACGTTCTACTCTGACACATACGAGTCAAAATCAATCCGACAGCAACTACAATACTAGTATATATGAAGGGACATCAAAAACTTTATGGAGAAATTCCATTATCGTTTTATTCTATTTTATCCAAGAAAAAATTTTTTGAAGCACCCCACTATACACATAGCGTCCTGGTGTGGTGCTATGGGTTAATGCCCCAGACTGCAAAGTCGCTTTGAACTCCAAGGTCGGTGGTTCAAGCTCACCAGTCGCTCCTTGGAAACCCTATACAGGGTCACTATGGGTTGGAACTGACTCGATGGCACTTCACAACAACTACACACACACACACACACACACACACACACACACACACACACACATATTATGTGTTATCTAACAGACATTCCACTCTGTACCCTGTTCTTTATTTCTTAGCAACACATGCTGGCTATAATTTCATTTCAATGCATATATATTGATCTACCTCATTAAGCATTTGACTACTAACCATGAGATTGGAGGTTCAAACCTACCAGCCACTCCCCAGAAACCCTATATAGGATCGCTATATGTTGGAACTGACTTGGTGACACTTACCAACATCAACTCCTTACGAACTCACTCCTTGTATTACCTTATTTTTTTAAAATACTACCTGGTATGGACTAGTTATCAAGTGAGTTTTACAGGGCAGAGTCTTCCTAGCATGGGCAGGATAAGACTGCCAGCCAGGCAGAGCCACTTGCTGTGTGACCATGGGTAAATTACTCACCCTCTCTGGGCCTCTGCTGTCATTAGTGAAGGAAGTACCTCTGAGGGTCATTTTAGCTCTGATGCATTGTGGTTCTGCTATGTACAGTGGCAGGGAGGGATTCTGGGCCAGTCAGAGGACAAAGGGACAGGAACTCACCCTCAGGAAGGTGCCAGAGATGGGGCCTGGGGTGACTGGATTCCATTGCTCCGTGCCTTCTTCCTGGTAACTGATGTGGAACCCTGTGACCGGCCCAACTCCTGTGTACAGTGGGGGCTCCCACCGCAGCATCAGGGAGGTGGCCCGCACCTCGGATGTACGCACATCATAGGGGGGACCTGTGGGAGGTGGAACAGAGAGGGAGGCAGGTAGGCAGACAGTCAATTGGGCACAGAGCTGAGTGGTCAGTTAGCAAGAAAATCCATCTGTCTGTCACAAATTGGCCTGGACACATGTTTTCTGGGCATAGTGGGGACCTGAAGGATCTTGGTTCCCTGACAAAGCTGGCGCTGGTCTGAAATACAGCTAACTCTTCAAAATGTGCTCAGGGTCACCTCTTCCTGAAGCTTCTCTGATCCTCCCCAGCCCTATCCCAGACGGTGAATTTTCTTCATGTCCTTGTCACCTCAGTATTCAGCTTAGAGGAATGCGTGTGACCTGTGAAGTCAGAACACCAGGGTTCATTTCCCAGCTCCACCTTTTCTAGTTCTGAGGAACCTAAGCAATTTACTTAATTTCTGTGCTCCTGCCTCCTCGTCTATAAAAGGGGCATAATAGCACAGTATAATGCTGTTGTGAACATGAATGAGATAATTTAGAGGACATGTCTAATACATGAGGCTTCCTGGTGGTGTAGTGCTGCTTGGCTGCTAACTGAAAGGCTGCTGGTCCCAACCCACCAGCTCCTCCGAGGCAGAAAGATGTGGCAGTCTGTGTCCATAATGATTAACCAGCTCAGAAACACCATGGAGAGTTCCATTCTGCCCCAAAGTGTCGCTATGACTTAGAATCGCCTTCACTGCAAAGTTTATTTTGTTGTTGTTGCTCGGTTTGATCTGTACACATAAATATTAGCTTTTGTAATAATTGGTATCCTATAAAGCATTACACAGAATCCTGGGTTGCTGGACTACAAGGTTAGTTTGAATGATATGTTTGGCAGTTCAAACTCACCAGCTGCCCCTGGGACACCCTATACAGGGTCGCTATAAATTGGAACCAATTCAATGGCAATTAACAACAACAACAAAACAAAGCATTACATGTTGTAATGATCTGCCATTTGGGTAAAGGTTTTGTGTAGAAAATGGAACTGAGCTAAAAGGGAACGCAACTTTCCCAATGGAAAGAAGGGATGTGTTCTTTCCTTTGGGAAAGATGAGAGCTTATTTTTTAGAATAATGCTAATGAGATTATAAATTGCTCTGGTAGCGTAGTTGGTTACTAGTTGAGTTACTAATCTCAAGGTTAGCAGTTTGAAACTATCAGCTGTTCCACAGGAGAAAGATGAGGTTTTCTGCTCCTGTAAAGATTTACAGCCTCAGAAACCCTACACAGGGTCGCTAGGAGTCAGAACTGACTCCATAGCACATAGTCACCACCACCACCACCAATGGGGTTATGAGGCGAGTGTATAGAGTGGCCAACCATCATTGTTTGTCCAAACCTGAGGGGATTCCTGAGATGTGGAGCTTTAAGTGGTAAACCCAGGAATATTCCCCATCAGCTGGGAATTGGTCACCCTAGCAGTGGTGTCTTTGGAGTGGGAGGTGGACCTGTGCTCAGACTCAGAGCTCACATGGTATAGTCCGTGGACATTGTTTGTGGTGGGGGCACAGGGTTAGCATATGACCAAGGTCAGTGGCCCTCTAAAGCAGGGCTCCAACTTGGTCTATGTCAGACTGTGGAGGGATCAGAGATCTGGGGCCTGGGAACAACAGAGCAAGCTTGAATGTGTGTAGAGCTGAGCACTGTTAACTCCTTGGCTAGATTTGGGGGCAAGGAGCAAGAGTAGGTGCTGGAGTCCATGTTGTCTTGGTCTCTTACCTGGTTGGGGCATTGTCCACTCTTTGCACTCGAACAGGCTGCTGGGTGTTGACAGCTCACCAACACCTGCCAAATTTGCTGCCCGGGCACGGAACTCATAGAAGTGACCTTCTTGCAGGTTGCTGATCTGGAAGGACAGAAGCACACACTGTGGAGACCGAGGTTGGGAAAGGGAAGGGAAGAGGCGCTGAGCCTGGAGCCGAGGTTCAGAGCAGGAAGGGAAGTCTGTGTGTCAATGCTTAAAAATGAGCCTCCTTCAACCTCAGGGCCTCCAATGGTGGCCTCAGATCTCCACCTGCACCAACAATGAGGCAAAGTGTGCTTACCTTGCAGACCCGGGCTGGGATGGGCTGCTGGTTGACTGGATGCCAGTCTAGCTCATCTGAATCGTGTTGGTCCAGGAAGTAGCCCAGGATCTTGCTACCTCCTCGACGCTTGGGGGGTTTCCATCCAATGACCATATCATTCTTCCCACAGTTTAGGAGGGTGAAATTGTAGGGGGCAGATGGCGTAGCTATGGGGAAGGAAGGAGATGAGTGTAGCTGCTCAGGAAAGGCTGAACTGGGTAGCGGAAAGCCAATAAAACTCCCTCGATGTGCATCCATCTGACTTAAGGAGGTCCTTGCCTAGTCAGCGGCACCTGCTGTTAACCATCACTCTGACCCTTGGCAGGCACCTGGGATGTCTCTTCACTCTAGATTGGTCAAGCTTTGTGCATGGCCCAAAACAACTATTACTTCCTCCCCGAAGGAAAAGGAAGTCAGGGTCAGCCCAGTGCTCTTCAGAGGACTTCCAAACCACTGACCTCTGGGAGTAACCTCCAGGTTAGAACACATTCTAACTACCAGCTGTTACACAGGAACCTTCAGGTTAGAATACATTCTAAGATTCCCAGCTCTCTGCCCTCCCAAGGCTGCCACCAGGCTGGACCTGCCCCTTCAGACTTACCCAGAGCCTGCTTGACCTTGGTGGGTTTGGTGGCTGTGGAACTTTCACCTACCCCAGCCTCGCTGACGGAGCTGACACAAAACTCATACTCCTTCCCCGTCTTCAGACCAGGAACCGTGAACCTGGGAGAGAAGTGGGTAGCCCTCAGGGACATTCCTGAATATTCTAGAACAACCTGGTGGGATAAGTGGCCACCAGAGTGGTTTGACTTGAGGGTCCTAAGATAGTTTTTAAGAGTCCTGGTGTGGCAATGTAGGTTAATGTGCTAGACTGCAAAGTTGCTTTGAACCACAAGGTTGGCAGTTCAAGCTCACCAGCTGCTCCTCGGAAACCCTATACATGGTCGCTATGGGTTGGAATCAACTCGATGGCACTTAACAAGAAGAAGAAGAAGCTAATTTGGATAGAGAATTTTGACCCCGTAATAAGGCTTGAAATGCCACTCTGGAGGATTTATTCACTAAGGTTTTAGAGGATATGGCTCTCCTGGGTGGTACAAACTGTGCTGTCACTAAATGCCAGGTGGTGGTTTGAGTGACTGCAGTTCCACAGAGGACAGGCCAGAGCATCGTGTGGAGCAGTGCTATTCTGCAAATACATGGGCTTACCCCGAGTTGGAATTGACTGGATGATAACATCTGGTTTTGGTTTATTTTTTGGGTGATTATTCTCCTAGAGGAGTCCTGGTGTGGCACTGTGGGTTAAGGCGCCAGACTGCAAAGCCATTTGAACTGCAAGGTTGGCAGTTCAAACTTACCAGCTGCTCCTCGGAAACCCTATACAAGGTCGCTATGGGTCAGAACCAACTCAAGGGCACTTCACAACAACAACTCTCCTAGAGCTCATCATTAAAATGCAACTGGCCACAGCCTGGCTTGGCGCTGGTTGGTCCAGCTTCAGGCCGTTGAGCTTTGTTCTTGCAAAAGAAACCAAACCAAACACCAAACTAGCTGCTGTGGAGTGGATTCCATTTGGAGGTAGATCACCAGATCTCCCTTCTGAGGTACCTCTGGGTGGGCTCCACCTCCAACCTTTCTGTTAATAGTTGAGTGCTTAACTGTTCACATTGCCCCAGATTCCACAGGACTCAGTCAGGAATAAACGAGCATGAGAAAAGAATTTGGAGGTGCACCTGATACCCGGAAAACTATGAAATGGCAGCTGTCATTCCTGCTCTGGCCCCTTCTATGGTGCAGGAAGTGGGGCTGGCTGACTTACTGGTTGCCCTGGATGGGTTTGTTGTTGACTGTTTGCCATTCAGAAGATCCCAGCTCCCGGGAGTAGATGTAGTAACCCAGGAGCTCCGGACCACCATCCACAGGATTCCAGGTTAGGGAGACAGCGGTCTGTGTGTCTCGGAAAGCTTGCACTTGAGTGGGAGGAGGCAGAGTCGCTAAACATAGAAAGATGGAAAGAGCGAGGATGCTGAGCTAAGAGTTACAGGCTGGGGGAAGGGATGGAGGTACCCCATAGTGACCCGGAATTCCAGGCACGTCTTGGGTCACGGGCAGCCCTTTGCCAGGATCCAGAGGTACACCCCAGACCCTCAATGTTCCCCTCTTTTTTTAAATCTCTAAATAGCTTGGCTGCCTCCCTTAAAGTTGTTTCTCTCAGAAGTTACCAAATCTGACTCTTCTTAAGTCCTTATCTTCAAATGCTAGAAAACGGCATTTCCTTTTCTTGAAACTCCTCTCTTGACTTTCATGGTTTCCTGAGACTAAACTTCTTGTGGCAGAGGTTACTTTGATTTGTTAAATGGATGGATGGAAAAATGGATAGATGCATGGACATAGGAGCAGGCAGATGAATAGATGGATAGGTGGGTAGATGGACAGATAGATGAATGAATGGACAGAAGGGCAGATGGATGAATAGACAGAGGTAGATGGATGAATGGATGGCTAGATGGCTAGATGGCCTAGATAGATGCATGATGGATGGATGGATGGTGGATGAATGGATGGATGGATGGATGCATGGTGGATGGATGGATGGATGGATGGATGGATGGATGGATGGATGAACAGATAAAAGGGCATATGAGTGAATGGATGGGTAGATAGGTAGATAGACAGCTGCATGGATGGATGGCAGATGGCAGGAGCATGACCTTCCTCAGTGGCATCTGGGTTGGTGTCACCCAGTGTAATATCTCCTGGTGTCATATACATTACCCCTGGTGGTAGGCAGAGCGGCCCTCCCAGGCCCACCCTTTTGACTCTCTGAAGCTCCTTCCCTCTTCCACTGGCTAAGGTGGAAACTCTCTGCCCAATGGCATGTACTGGTGTGGCTGTCTGTCTGCATCTTGATTGACAGTTAATGGAGAGGAAGTTACCATACTAGGTAAGGGGTGAGCATTGGTCAGACCACCTCCCCAAGACCCTGGGGTCATTCAGTAGCACCCCTTCTGACAGTGTGATCCACGCACCATCACTCCCCCTAGTGATGCCAATGACTTCCTAGCATTCCTCTTACTTCAACTCCTTGCACATCCTCTAGGGGGCTCCCCATCTTCGTTTGCCCACAAATGTGGGACTCCTTCAAACTTCCATTCTTTGCTTGTTCCATGTGTCTTCTCTCCTCTCGTTCTTGGGGATCTTGCTATTCCTACACCTACACTTCTGCGCAGTAACTCCCTGGGCTTCACCCCCACTTGACCCTTTCCTGAATTCCAGAGCTTCACCTGCCATTGTCCTCTGGATGGCAGCCCTGGGGCTTGTGTGCTGTCCCAAAGCCAGCAGGACAAAACGGATCTCAGAGCTAGCCAATATGAATCCAGTATTGATTGAGTGCCTGCACTGAGCCAATCCCCAGGGATGTGTCAGGGAGTAAACACGAGGACTTGGCTTCAGGAAGGTCCTGTCAGCTCCTTCAGCCTCTTAGATTGCAGACACTGAGACACTGGGTGGAGGCAGGATGGAGGGAAAGGCTGCCAGGAGGCCACTTAGGGACTCCGTGTGTCCAAGAGACCCAATTTTAGCCACAGGCAGCAATGGTCTGGAGTAGTCTCAAACATTAAGGTTATGATTTCAAGGATCTCAGGACCCAAGGAAACGATTGTGATAGAAGGTGAAGTTTAAAAAGTAAAATGCAAAACTGTGCCTAGCCTGATTGTATTTTCCGAAAGATGCATTAATATGTGCGAGGCTAAAAATCCAGAAGCCCAGGCACCCACGTGCTCACAGTGGTTACCCCCTGGGCAGTGGGGTCAAGAGGACCTGGTATTTCTTTTCCCTTCCTCTCTTCTATCTTCTTTTCCATCTCCTCTCCTTCCTTCTAAATTGGTTCTTTTGTATCTTCCCATTTTTATACAACCAATTCATTCTTACAGTTCAACATAAATACCTTTCCAGATCTATACTTGAACCCACCCAATCACAATCCACTCATTGGCCAGTCCCTGAAGCAAGACTATATGTTAACTGGACCAGAATAAAGATAAAAACCACTTACCCAATCACCCATTCCTATTTGCCATGAGGATAATCTCCCCCACCCCACAAATTACTAAAGCAGAACAAATCCACTGTGGCTTTGAACTCTTCTCCACACAGGAGCTGGGACAAACCAAGCTTTCCAGGTGACTTTGCACCTGGGTTCCTTAGGAGGACTACATGGGTATGACAGTGGAAGGGTACTTCTGGAATGATCTGACTGAAGAGCCCCAGAATCTAGAGGCCTAAGGAAGGGAGAGCCCCAGGAAGTAGGGGCTCAGGCTGCAGCTGCAGCTGGGAGACTCAGGAAGGAGCTCGGGACAGGGGCATTCCCAGCGTCCTCAGAACAGTGGATTTGGCAGATAAGGAAACCACAACTTACACACTGGAAATGACTTGCCAGAGCCCACGCCAGTGAGACAGTGTCCTGTCTGGTGAGCCAGGGCACGGGGTGGGACAGCTCACACTAAGGGGACAGGGGGCTTACACAGAAGTCACTCTCCTTGAGAAGGGCTGGTCACAGGAGGCAGGATCTAGGCAGCTGGACAGAGATCGTTAGAACTGAGGGACCACTTCTAACACTCAACTCCTGAGCTGGACCCAGCTGTTGATCTGGAAGAAACATCTGTATTTCCATAATCCTCCTGCCCAGAGACAAGTTTGATGCTGTGGGTTAATGTACCAGACTGCAATGCCATTTGAACTGCGAGGTCGGCAGTTCAAGCTCACCAGTTGCTCCTTGGAAACCCTATACAGGGTCTCTGTGGGTCGGAACCGATTTGACAGCACTTAACAACAACAACAATTACCAGCTACTCCACAGGACAAAGATGAGGGTCTCTGCTCCTGGAAAGATCTACAGCATCGCTATGAGTTGGGACCAACTCTAAGGCATACAACTACCCCCACCACCAAACTTTATAGGCCTGAACACCTGTTGCTTTTCTGCTTCATGATTGATAGAAGAGGTCAGGGGTAGGGAAATGGGCACATGGCTCTGTCCATGCAGAGGTGGGTACTGGCAGCCTGGCCTGGTCCACTCCTATCCCCATCTCCCTTATCACATAGATACCTGGTTTAGTCCCCAGGGTGATGGGCTCGCTGGCCTCCGAGGGATCGCTCATGCCATACTGGTTCATTGCTCGCACTCTGAAGACATATGACTTTCCTTTTTCCAGATCCAAAAGGGCGAATTGTGGGGCTTTCACAGGGGCCTCTGTTCTGATGGCCTCCCAGGTGCCACTACCTATGACAGACTGTTCAAAAGGAGAAAAACTCAGTTGGTAGCTGGTTCTGTGGTTGCATGGACTGGACTCTGTTCCCCAACATGTTCTAGTGACTTCTATCTCTAGCCCAGGCTAGCACTGAACACCTGAGCTCCTCTATAACTCCACCTGGATGCCTGTTGAGTGTCTTACATTCAACAGGTCCAGAACTTTCCCGCACACCTGGCTGCCCACCTTGAATTAGTGGCACCATCCTTTCTGGCTCTGACCACAACCTGGGAGCCATCCTCGACATCTCTTTCCCTCACACTCCACACCTGGTCCATCAACAAATCAAGTTGGCATGAACTTCAAAATGTATTCAGAATCTGGCCACAGTTTACTCTTGTTTTCTCTACAACCTTCATCCAAGGCCATCATCTCTGGCCTGAATTATTTTAATAACTTTTTGACTGGTCTCCTTATCTCTACTTTTACTCTCCTTCAGTCTTTTCTCAAAAAAATAGAGGGATCATTTTAAAACCCAAGTCTGATCACGTACTTCCTCTACTCAGAACTCTCCCAAGCTCCTCATCTCTTTCAGAACAAAAGCTTCTCCACAACCTGGCCCTCCCCTCGGACTGAGCTCTACCAACCTTGCTCTCCACTATCCACACCTCTGTGTCTCCTAACTGTTCTTTGATTGTGCCAGGTGCACTCTGGGACTTTGCACATGCTTGGAATGTTCTCCCTCCACAAATCTTTTGGCTAGCTCCACCTTTTCTTCTTTACTTAAAACTCACTTTCTCAAGGAGGTGGGCTACTCCATTTAAAATTTAAACAACTCCTCCTGAAACTTCAAGTTTCCTTTTTTGCTTTATGTCTTTCTCCTTAGTACTTAATGAACTGAATACTTTACTGCTTTATCTCATTTATTATCTGTCAGCTCCACAAGGCAGGGACTTGTCTGTTTTATCTACTGCTGAGTCCCCAGGGCCTGGAACAGCAAGGGCACATGGGAAGGTGCTCAATCTACGTTTGTTGAATGAATAAATAGATCCATGGGTGAAATTTCATAAGAATCTTGCAAGGTAGGTTTTCATCTCCCCACTGGTGAAGAAACAATTTTGGGTATTGTGCTGAATGTCATGCACCTAAAGTCTCGTGGAGTCGGTATTGCAGCTCAGGTAAGTGCCTCCTCACCCCCCAAGCTACTTCTCTTCATGGTTTCAGGGATGCAAATGTCAGTAATACATTCTGGATCTCTGGGCAGATCGAGGCCGAAGAGTCAAGGGTGACGAAGGCAATCGAGATACCCAGAGACCATTTCTGCTGAGTTTGGGCATGAGAATTAGGACCTAGAGACACTAGGGAGATGTTTGTCCTCTCCCAGACCCACCTGACTGTCAGTGGCCACAAGTGCAGATGGGCAAAGAAGCTATCACACAAATCAATGACCACCTACTATGCATTACAATGGGCCAGGCCCTCTTCTCAGTTTTAATTAAATGTTTTAATTAAATTAGCCCTCACGTGAACACTATACGGCATATACTTTTATCGTCTCCATTATATGAAAGAAGAAATTTAGCATCCAGAGATGCTAAATAACTTGTCTAAGGTCACACAGCTAGTAAGTAGCAGAGGCAGGATTTGAACCCAAGCAGTCAGACTCCAAAGTTAAGCCATCATACTCTTCATTTTTAGATGTCATTGAGTCTGCCGCGATTCATGGTGACCTTATGCACAACAGAACAAATCGCTACCTGGGCTGGAACCAGCCTCATGGTCAAGTTCAGATCAGACCACTGTGATGCATAGAGTTTCACTGGCTAATTTTCAGAAGTAGATTGCCAGGCCTTTCTTCCTGCTTCACCTTTGTCTGGAAACACCACTGAAACTTGTTCAGCATCACGGCAATGCACAAGCCTCCACTGAAAAGTGGTGGTTATGGACGAGGCTCATTGGCTGGGAACTGAACCCAGCTCTCCTGCAGTGCAGGTGAGAATTCTACCACTGAGCCACCAAATGTCCCATACACTCTGTTACTGTTGTTATTAGATGTCATTGACAACAGAACAAAATGTGACCTGGTCCTTCACTACCCTCACTGTATTGAATCCTAGTGTGGATGCTAGGTAGCAAGCCAGCTCGTTGGGTGGCTTCCTTTTTTTTTTTTTTTTTTTTTGCTGATCCTCTACTTTACTAAGCATGGTGTCTCTCTCTAGGGACATTATACTCTAGGGCCCCACAAAACAAATTTTCAATTACCCATAACTTTCCCATGTCAGAGAAAAAGGATCAACCTTGAATGTGAAAAAAGAAGCCCATTTGGACCACCAGAGCTAGAGATCTCTCCTGAAATTTCTTCCTCATTTATTCATTAACTGAGAAATGAACTGATCATGCTGGTCCCTGGCTTCTGGAGACCAGGATTTATAGACTCAGGGTTACTGGTCTTTGCTGTGAGCTGTGTTTTATCTCATCACCTTAGGGATGTTGGTGAAGTTAAGAAACTGGCTCAGGATTTAAATTTATTTCAATACCTATGACTTTGTTGTTGTTGTTTCCTGTGACATGCTACCTCTGTTCCAGTGAAATCTACTCCACACAAACGGCCCCCACCACTGGGGTTTCCCCAGACACCTGTCCCTATGGAGCACCCCCTCCTAGTACTAAGCAGACCTTGCCCTATGTCCTATGAATGCTACTTGCTGGTGCTCCGTGTCCGTCTGGCTTCCCTCCCAACGTGCCTAGACCCAGCGTGTTTGACCCAGTGTGAGACCCTGTGTTAGAGGGAAGGTGCTCAGCAAATAGTGGCTCTTCTACTGGCTCGGAATTCTGTGTATCTCCATGCAAGTTCTCAGGAATCATTGCTTATAGCTGGCTTCTCCTGGGCCTTCTAGGTGGGGATTCTCTGATGCCCCCTCTAAGGGTACTACTTGGGATGTCTCAGCACTTCCTGGTACTCCACATACCAGGGTCCCTCAGCATGTTAATTTTTCAGGCTAACTTGGGGTCTACTTACCTTCTCCAGGGAGTATGTCAGTGGGGCCTTGCCTCGGGGGCTAGGTTCCTTCCAGCTCAGAACCACGTAGGTCTCTCGGATCTCGCTGGCGTGGACATTTGTTGGGACCGAGGGGATGGTCACGAAGTCTGGAATCAGAGTTGTCCATAGGCAGAGATGGGTGGGTCTCAGAGACCCCTAATCTCAGCCCATTATAATATAGAAAGGGCATGTAGGGCCCAAGGAGGGACTGGGATTTGCTCCAGCTCACCCTGTGAGGCAGGGCAGGGCTGGGGCCAGAGTCCAGGTCTACCTACAGCCCTACCAATGGCTTTATCCAGCGTGCTACCTCCTTCATGAGGGGCTCAGCACAATTGGCCACAGATGCCCCAGAACCCTGCCTCCTTGAAATAGACCCCATCCCCTCTCACCACTTCATACCAGCCAGGTACAAGGACAGCTTATGCTAATTTCCAGAACCACGACGGATGCTGGGGTCTTGAGGCAAAGTGTTTAGAAGATTGACACATACCTTCAAAATCTTCTTTGCTGATTGTGATCTTGTTTCCCAAACCAAAGGGGATCTCTAGGATTAAGAATGAAGTAATTGGGGGAGAGGTGAGGGGTGGAGGGCTGGGTCAGGAGAACCTACCCTGATTAGATTCTAAACCATCCACTGGTTTCTGGTCCTGCTTTTCAGCCCCTCATTATGTGACCCTTGGCAGGTCCTCGCAGGGCCTCAGTTTTCCCTTTCCCCTGGGGCCAAAGTAAAGTGTTGCTGCTCTCAGACCCAGAATGATACTCTGTCTTCTTTGGACAAATGGGTACAGAGATGGAAGTGAGGTGCCTGGGGTGCACCTACGATGTAATGGGTACAGTACAACCCCAAGAAGTCAGGCTGAGTCTTCAGGGCTGTCTCTCCCCTTCAGATGAAGACTATGAAAGGCAGTTCCCTTTGGAATGAGGCTTGCTATGTGAACTGTGCCCCCAGCATGCCCTGAGGAATGTCCCTGCAGGGCCTCCATACCCACCTGTCTTTCTCTGGTCTTCATCAGATTCTCCCATAAAAACCAGCTGTGAGGCCTTGGAGGGGAGGCTGCTTCCTACTTGGCTGATGGCTTTCACCCGGAACCGATAGCTCTGGCCTTCGACAAGGCCTTGGATTGGGCACCGGCAGGTCCCCCCAAGGGTCTTGTGGCAAGGCACCCACTTGCCGGACTCACCCTGGCACCTGTGGAAGAGAGGAAATGGCACATGATTTATACCTTCCACTTTGAGGCTTGGCAAGGGGCACTCTTTCCCCAGCACCCCAAATCCCACTTGTCCCACCTTCTGGGTGCCCACCCAGCTTTCCTCTGATATTAAAGTCCTTCTCTCCATTTAAAAGCCCTACTCCAGCCTCAGGCTCCCAGGAGACTTTCCTCTTCCTTAACTAAGATGCCAGCTGATATCACTACATGCTTCTCTTCTGGTCGGTTCTGATTCATAACAACCCTGTATAGCGTTTCTGAGGACTGGCTGATGGCTTTGAATTGCCGACCTTGTGACCTTGTGGTTAGCAGTCTAGCGCTTATCCTACAGCGCCACACCGGAACTACCTCTGGTAGTGTGTTGTTGTTGTTGTCAGGTGCCATCGAGTCGGAACTGACTCATAGCGACCCCATGCACAGCAGAACGAAACAATGTCCGATCCTGGGCCAACCTCACTACCACTGCCACACTTGATTCCATCAATGATGCCACCTGGCTGATCCATCTCGTTGGGGGTCTTCCTCTTTTTCTCTGACCCTCCATCTTACCCAGCATGACATCCTTCTCCAGCGACTGTTCTCTCCTGACAATATGTCCAAAGTATGAGAGATGGAGCTTAGCCATCCTGGCCTCCAAGGAGCACTCTGGCTGCACTTCTTCCAAAACAGATCTATTGGTTCTTTTGGCTGTCCATGGCACTTTTAGTATTCTCCTCCAACACCAAAACTCAAAGGCATCAATTCTTCTATGATCTTCCCTATTCATTGTCCAGCTTTCGCATCCATAGTGTAGTGGGTTATAAATTGGGCTGCCAACCGCAAGGACAATTCAATTCAGTCCTATAGGGTCAGGATCCACTCAGTGGCAGCAAGATTGGTTTTGGTTTTTTGAAGCTTGATTGTGCCATCCTGTTATGGGAGTCAGGTGGGATCACCTGTACTCTGTAAATGGGGAGGTGGGGGGCGCAGCTCAGCGATGTGGAATGACTGGACCAAGGTCATATGGCTCCTGAGTCGGGATTTCATCTAAGGCCTGCCCATGCCCTAACCTGGTGCACTGTTGGGCCTGAGCCTCTAAGCCTGGGCTTTCTGTATCCTCTCAGGACCACTGTCCTTGGGCAGTATGGCAACACATTACCAGCTGGACGATGTAGTGATCCATGGCTAATGAGCACCATGACAGTGGGCAACGTCATCTCCCCACACATCTCAGTTTCCTCATCTGTAGAATGGGGCATTTAAATTCCCCTCCTTAATAGGGGGTGTTGTGAGGATTAAATGCCACAAGGCACGCCAGGTCCAGAGTCAGTGTGTGCCCCTGGTGGAATTAGGTATATCTCAAGTTCGGACTTCAGAGCAGGAAGCTTTGGGGGAAAGAGGATGGATGTTCGGACCTCTCCCTCTCATCTTCTCACCCTTCTTGGGTGCTCTCCATTCTGGCTTTGGGGCTCTGTCTCTGTCATTCAGGGAGGAAAATAAGCCACCGACTTCACATGAGCTAAGGTTGCAAGCAGTATTAACATTTCCCTCCATCCAGGATCAGCTCATAGGAGTTCTGATGTGGCGCTGTAGGATAAGCACTGGATCACAGGGTTGGTTTGAACCGCCAGGTGGCAATTCAAACTCACCAGCCTCTCCTCAGAAACCCTATATGGGGTTGCTATGGGCTGGAACAGACTCGATGGCACTTAATACCAACAACAACAAAGGGTCAGCTCACATTGCAAAGGTAACAGAGGTCATCACTGATGCCAGCAGTGGAACTCCAGGTGGCACTGTGACAGAGAGGGAGTGTGGATGCCCTTCTGTGGGCCACAAACTACAACACAGTCTACCTCCTGCCCTGTCCCGAGGAACTGGGGTTCACCGAATCCAGGGATGGGTCCTCCGTTTCTGTGGAAGTGGGCTCAGTGAGGTAACAGAGGGCTCAATGAGGATGTATCGGCTGAGTGAGGGGATGGGGAGTTTGTCCTCACAACTGTGCCTGGGGACCCTGCCCCTCAAGAGACCAACTCACAGCTCGATGGAGTAACCGGTGATGGGGTTGCCGCGAGTGTCGCTGGGTGGGGCCCAGGTCAGGATGAGGCAGTCTCTGTTCACATTCAGGCATCGGACATTCAGGGGAGACCCTGGACCTCCCGTCTTCCCGGCTGCAGCATCTGAAACCGGGGTATACGGAAGAGAGAGAGCCTCTTCCGGTCAGCATTCATTGGGCAGCAAGCCCCTTCCGACTCTGCCCAGCATCCTCTCACTCCTTATCCTCCAGGGTTCAATTTTGATCTCTAGGAGCAAGGCCTGAGTAACAGTCCCTGACCCTAAATAGCAACAGGCTGGTGGGGGGTGGGTTGTTGTTGTCAGGTGCCATCGAGTCAGAACTGACTCATAGCAACCCCATGCACAGCAGAACGAAACAATGTCCGATCCTGGGCCAACCTCACTACTGCTACCACACTTGAGTCCATCAATGATGCCACCTGGCTGATCCATCTCGTTGGGGGTCTTCCTCTTTTTCTCTGATAATAAATGGGTAGTTTACCATTTATTAGGGATCCACTCAACACCATGCATGTAAACAACTGGCATAATTTATCTCTGGGTCCCATTGCACCACCTCATTTTGTAGATGAGGAAATTGAGTCTCACAGAGGTGAAGTGACTTGCTCAAAGTCACCCCAGCCAGGGAAGTGACAAAACCATGATTTGAATCCAAATCAGGTTCAAAGACCAGGAGGTAGAACTCCACCAGTGATCAGACTCCGGTTCCAGGTATATGCTCAGCCTGCCAACCCAACCCCAAGTCTGAGGCAATCAGCTCTGCACTTTTGGAAGTGCATAGGACACCACAGGGGTTCTTAGTGAGAATCTAACTCAACACCCCCATTTTATAGCAGGGAAACTGAGGCCACACAGCAGTCAGAGGCAGAGTCCTGTTCTGTGTGTTCCCAGCCACATATCCAGCGCCCCCTCTCACCTCTCACAAACACATAGGCGCTCTGCTCCCGGACCCCAAAGGGAGAGGGCACCTGGACCGTGTAGAGCCCCTCATCTTCCTTGTAGGCACAGGACACCTTTACAGACGCCTGGCGGTGTGCACTGAGGATCTGCCGGCGCTCTGTGGACTTCAGCAGGCTCCCTGTGGAGGCAAGGATGCTTGTCTCTCGTGGGAACCTGGAACATTCTGGGGGCTGGAGGCTGGCTAGACAGGTGATAGACAGGGCTGCTGTGGTCATAGCTTGAGGTGTCGCTAGGTTTGGGGGCTCAATGAGGGCATGGGAGCTCTGTGAGGGGGTGCAGGCTCAATGAAGTCGGTAGGTGCACAGTGAAAGGGTGTAACTCAATGAAGAGGGTGGGGTTCAGTGATGGGTGGGGGTTAAGTGAGAGGGTGGGGTTCAGTAAGGGGGTGAGGCTTCAGAGGGTGTGAGGGTTCAGTGGGGGTGGGAGTTTAGTGAGGGGGTGGGTTTGGTGAGGGGGATGTGGGCTCAGTGAGGGAGTGGGGAACTCACTGCGGGAGTGGTGGGTTTTTCAAGAGGGTATGGGCTCAGTAAGAGGGTGGGAGTTCAGTGAGGGGCTGGTGGATTCAGTGAAGGGGTGAGGGCTTAGTGAGAAGGTGTGGACTCAGTGAAGGCTGGGGTGTTCAGTGAAGGGATGGGGCCTCAATGAAAGGGTGGGGACTCAGTGGGGGTTGGAGGCTGATTGAAAGGGTGGGGTCTCAGTGAGGGGATGTAGGCTCAGTGGATAGAATCTGGGATCTTAATGGAGTGAGGGCTCAGTAAGGTAGTCCACAGCTTAGTGAGGAGATGGGCGCAGGGAGTTAGCCCTGCCCTGAGGTAACTCTGTTGGCCATCCTTCTCTGTCCCACATGGAGGCCCGCCCTCCTGTCAGCAGCCCCTATTCTGGAAGATCTATGGATTCCGGAAAGCATCTCAGCCTTATTATTGTAGCTATTCCTCGGGGCTTGCAGGGCTTCCCGGTGCCCCCTTCTCTCAGCAGGTACAGCCTCCTCAGGCTGAAAGCTGGGGACACTGGGGGCCCTGTACTCCTTGTCCTCTGGCTGCAGGCCCGGTCATGGATGGGGCAGGCCTTCCAATCATACTCCTCTTCCTTCACTGAAGAGCTCCCCCAGATCTTGCCCGTTACATCCCCAGAGGTCTCCCAGCCCCTGAGACTCTAACTTATCCCCCACCACCCAAAGCTGTCCTGAGCACCCGGGTGTCGCCTTCTGAGTTCTCTTTGCTTCTAATGCCGCTGCTGGTGCTTAAGGTCAGGATTAGACCCCAGCAGGCTCCGCCTGAAAGCAGTAGCTCATGTCTCCACCCCGGCCTCGCCTGGCACTCCATTTGTAGGTGACTTGAACTGACAGTCACCTGCTATGTTCCTGCTTTTGTCAGCACCCACCACTCAGTTTGTCTTCAATTTGGGGAAGAGAGGGGTGCTGCTGAAGGCTGGGGTCCTCACCATCTCGAAACCACTGGATGTTCTGCTCAGCATCTAACACATCATCCGAAAAGAAGCAGGACAGGGAGAAGGGGTCCTTCTCACAGGCAAAGACAGGCTTCAGCACAGATGTGAACTCCACGCTGGGGCCAAACAGTGATCCTGGGGTGAGGACAGCAATTTGGAGGCTGTGAGCTCAGAGCAGACACTGGGGCTGAGGTGTAGAGGGGAGCAAGGACCCTCCTGAAGCATCCCAGCTCTTCTGGGTTCTTCGTTCCCAAGATGGGCTTGACAAAGACAAGAGAAAATTGAGCCTGCGGAAACCTGGGTAAGCCAAGACAGCAGACTTCCAAAGGCCATTGACGCCTTTACATTTTGGGTCATGGATTTACATTTCCAACTCAGTTGTTGTTCAGCAGCTAGGAAGCAGCTCTGGGGTATTTTGGGACCAGAAGCCAGTTTGCTATTATTAATAGCTGATAGGCCAGCCTACAGTGGACATCTCTTAGTTGATTATGGATGTATTCTAAAAAGGGCCTATGAAGAGGCACGAACAAGAAGCCCCGGGCACCCAGACACCTCCCCTTGGGACTCCCCCTTAAGTGTTCTTACTTTTGAAGAATTCTGAATCGAAGCCAGCATCCTTCCCCAGGTACGCTGAAAACCAAAGCAAATGGAGTTGGAGATGGTTCAGAGCCCACATTCCCACTAGATTTTGGCTCTGACATGAGTTTAAGTTATGGTCTGTTAGAAGTTCATGCTGGGGCTTAGGAACGTTCCTTCACCTCTCTGAGCCTCAGTTGCTTCATTGGTAAAATGGAGACAGTAATTCCTGTACCACCTGATGGTGGTGGGCTTCTGATGAAACTTTACATGAATAAAGTTTTCAGCAAGAACTTGACACATAGTACTCAATAAATGGTAGTTTCCTTCCTCTGCCTAAGCTTGCTGCCAATTTCACATATTGGGATGAGGAAAAGGGAAAAATTAACCAGGAGTGGAGCAGTGTTAAAGCAATGTTGATGCAAGAACAGCTAACCATGTGCCTCATGCTAACTTACTTAACCCTCACCACAACTCTGGCAGTCTCATTGTTATCCTCCCTAACAGATGAGAAACTGAGGCACGGTCATTAGCATCTGGATTCCAGGACATAATAGTGCCTCCCAGGAAAGGATCTTTGTGAGTGATGCCCAGAAAGGGACACAGGCTGCCCAAGATCACACACAGCATCAGTGGAGGCCTCAGGATTAGGACCCAGGGCTTCTACCTCCCATCCCAGGGCCTCCCACTGGGACCACCAAGGTTGTTATGGACATGAGAGCAGGGGAGGGTGGCAGTGGCAGTGAGTGGGTGCTCTCACTAGGAAGCTGGTTGGAATTTAGGGGCCAAGAGGATGCCTGGTGGGTCCTGGAATTGCTATATGTGATGGTGGCAGGGAGCGGGATCTGGAGGGAGTGATGAAAAGGATGGGGACAAAGAGGGAAAGCAGTGCCAGTGTTCGACCTTAGACTTGACTCTGGGCTGTCTATATTGTTGTTGTCAGGTGCCATCGAGTCGGAACCGACTCATAGCGACCCCATGCACAGCAGAACGAAACAATGTCCGATCCTGGGCCAACCTCA